TTTATTATCACTTAATACGTTGTATTAAAAAAACAAAGTATACCACAAGATGCAGCGTGAAAAGCTCTACAATTTACAAAAACAATTATAAAAAGATGAGATAGAAAAAAACCGAATTCTTCTTTTACCAAAAAGCAATGTCGTTTTCGCAACGTCGAAATTTGGTAGCTCAGAGTTTTGTCCATTTTGAAAACAAAAAGTGCAACTATAAAATAAGCGATTCTTGATAAATTGTAGATCTTTTCACGCTGCATCTTGTGGTATATTTTGTTTTTTCAATACAATATAGTAAATGATGATAAAATGAAATGCAAAAGTGCCCCATTTTTTATGCCACACCCATTATGATCTAAATGCTACTAGCTAGTTTTCAACAAAAGAACAGTTTTTATCGTAATTTTATTATAATGATATTAGTTGAATAGTGATGAAGTAGCATAGAAAAATAGAGCGAAAGACGTTCTATCTGTTCATAAAAAAGAAAATTTCTCCAAGCCTTCTATACGAGAATAAGGTATCTGGACTACTACTTTTGATATGACCTAAGGAAATTTTGTATACAGCCTATTTAATGTTGTTTTATCTTTGAATAACAATTATTAATTTTTAAGTGATTAATTACTGTCTATCTTGCAGAGAATATATACTTCTGTTCATCAGCATACAGAAAACAACAATAAATGGATGTCTTGCAAAAACCTAAATAGGTTCGTTCCCATGAGCCTTTGGTACCGAGTCATGACCGATTAATCTGGTTTCATAAATCATTTTCAAGTACTTCCTGGAAGATCAAACCATAGAGTTTCGATCCAAAATTTTGCTGATAGATACTTATATGAACTATCTGAATATTCTGAAAGTTTCAGCCAAAAGAAATGTTCATTTGTCTAGTTATTAAATTTTCAATTGAACTCGATTATTGTGGTATATCTGCGACAAAGGACTGATTTTGAAAATTCAATCTCTTGATGAAAATACATTCTTTTCGACTGCAACTTTCAAAATATTCCAAGATCAATCTATAGACAAAGTTTTAGATCCAAACTATGTAATTTTATTTTTCGACAACTACCTACAAATGAATAAAAAATCCAGTAAACCGACCACAACTCGATACGAGAAGACAATATAGAGGAACTCTGTTAGGCTGTTGTTAGCCTTATCCATACTTACTTCTGAATCCAAAATGAGCTCAAATAGCGGATGTCAGTAAGTATAGCTTTCTCGTTAGATCAATTGTGATTTGATCGTTAACCATTGACCACAAACAATAATAAGTACGATTAAGCACATTTTTATAGCGTTGCTTGCTCTCTTTGGATAACTTTTTATTAAAGACTCTTCTTAACATTTGATTATTTCAGTAATAACTTGATGTTTGTATGCCATCTATATCTGATTTCTTCTATCATGTCCAAGAGTACAAATTTTTCATGGGAGTCTTCTATTGGGTACCGTTTATTACCATGGTTTTCAGTTAAAAGGTTTTTCAAACAACTAAAACGATTTTGAGAATTTAGGAAGATATTTTTAATAGTTTACAAGTGCAGACATAATGATCACCCTAGGCGTGTATGGTTTTTTTAGCTCAAAAGCCAAAAATCTAGGTGTATTTTGATGTAAATATAGTAGTTAAAGTTCCATTTTTCAATAAATTAAATAGCTAAGGGTAGATTCTATCGACAGAGACGGTATTTTAAATCAATGCCATATATAAAGACTAATAATGAGAAAATAATGTGCTCTATTGTTTTCTGAATAGATTTTGATAGGAAAAACATAGAAATCTTCGATTTTCACCATTCATGAGAGAAGATCGGGACCCATCGAACCATGTCGAAATGTGATCCATGAAGATTTTCGAAAACGATACTCTGAAGCTATTTCCTTTTTCATTTAGACTCTTCATAAGACTAATCGATAGAAAGATTTTCTCGCTTTCGGTTTATGCAAGACCGATATTCGTAGCAGCTTATTCAGTTCGATATTTATAAGGCTTTTCTAGAGGCCCTTGATTTCAGCCAGTTAACTTGTGATCCCTCGGACAAGCAACTACTTAGGTTAGGATAATTCATCGTGCTTCTTCGTTACATTTGACTCTACATGATGAATCATCGCTACATAGCAGCTTTTCATGTTGACTACCGACGAATTCGTTGAAACTGAGAGGATCTTATGAAAGGTCGTGTAACCCTCGAATGAAGCCGCAAAAAAGACATAGTTTCAGAATATCGTTTTCGATAATTTGCACAAAGAACTCATCTGACTGTTGAACTCCTGACCAACCACCTTTTAAAATGCTTCCATGACCTCGAATCTTTTTTCTTGGATGTTAAGAGCCGCAGGTCTCTATGACCTTTCTATGAAAATTTATTCGGAAATAGTAGAACAAATTATATTTCGAGACAGATAGTAGTCATATCTGTTTCAATATTCTTTTATTAAATTTTTTCAACATTCATTCAATTTAACAATATTTGAAAAAGCTTGAATATACAAAACTTCTAAAATAATTTCAGTTCTCTTTAAAAAAAAACAATAATTTAAACACACGATATTGTATAGGGTATCTGAACCCGCTGAATCTTCAAAGTTTTTCGTTCCATTATTTTGTCACTTCCTTGATGATTAATTATTGTTATGTCTCTTGATACATCATTTTTATTCTTAAATAAATTCATTAAAACTTTTTTTGGTAAACGTCGAAATATTGGTGATGATAAATAATTTACATAAAACATTGATATATAATTAAAATAAAAAGCAAGACGAACTATTTGAAGAAATAGATTTTCTTGTGCACGACGACATTCACTTTTAATTATTGTTTGTGTTATATTTTCATAAATATTTTGTATACAATAAGGTATTGATGATATAATAGATATGATTATTTGTAAAAATAACATTGATGTTAATTGATTATTAATACGTGCCATACGTGTTAACATTGCCGATCTTAATGGATTAATACGTTGTATATGAGTATGACGAATATTTTTTAATGTTAATATTCCAAATATACTCATAAATAACCATGGAAATATTCCATAACAAAATAGATTAATAAAATAAGTTAATACTTTTGAATATATAAATGATGAACTTCCACAAAATTGTCTTTCTTGTATAGGTTTCATATAAATAAGTGTTGGAATAGATGTTAACATCCATATAATTATTGTTGATAAACAAACTTTTCTTGCTATAGATACTGAATTAAAATAACGCCATTTTATTTGACGACATGTAGAAAAAAATCGATCAATCGTAGCCCATACAAAACATGAGAGAGTTGTTAAAGATGCACATTGTGCTATATAACTTCGAAGTTTACACCATACTATATTAGTTACTGTCCAATCAATATGAAAACCATCAGTTAAGATTCGCATTAATAAACCAAATATTATCTGAATTAAACTAGCTAAAGAACCAATTGACATATATACACAACATGAACTTAAACGAAGTGAATGATGACGGAATATAAGTATATTCCATAGACATCCAATCAAACCGAAAATGAACATACTGATACCGAAATAAATATTAATTTGTTGAGATATATAATTTAAAGTTTCGACAATAGTCATTGTAAATAGTCAGAACAATAAAGTTAAGATGAGAATAATATAAGAAATGCACTTAAGATATAAAATGCGTGCGTGACTGAACTATTTTTTTTCCCACATTATTCATTATAATCTATTAGGATTATTAAATGTTGACTCAGAAGTAAAGAAGATCTTATAATGACTTACAAATTTCTGATTTTAATAAAAAACAATTGTATAAAATCTATGGTATGATCGAATCATCTATCTACAACAATAGTCAAACTAGTTATGATATCATATTTTATAGTAGATACATATACGGCATAGTCCTTCAAGTTCGTATTAATCTACTTGAAGAAAATTAGGATATAACTGAAACATACAATAATCTTTTCAATCTGACAATCCTCTTTGATATGCTTATTTATTACTCATAATCGTTAGATAAAAAAAAATTAAATGCGTAATATGCATATTTACTCAATAACATGTATTCTTTTAGAGACCCAAAAAAACGTGATCCTATTTTGCTCAATATATTTTTTCAGTATATCATTCTCATAAAATTTATTCTAACTTGTATATACGTATTACTAAAAAATGTTTTATTATATATATGCAAAAGCAACACTTTTATTCTGTTTAGTCCTAATTGATTATAATGATCCATCTTACCACCTATCAATCATTTACTTTTAATTTATGTATGATTACATGAATACTTTTCGAAAATTTGAACACATACATAATACAATATTTTCTTGTTCAAAAACTTAGGTCTTGGTATTATTCATTGTCTTCACTTCTAGGAATGTGTAGATTCAGTTTACTGAGTATCAATCTCACTAAAGTAGTAGAGCACACTGCCATCAACAGATTCTGAGTAAACCAAGTTAGGTAAAGAAAAAAACAATATATACAACACAGGTCGAAATTATTTTTTCTTCTACTTGACATGTGCAAACTTCAAGATGCTTCCATAGCGCATGAATTCGTTTCTACAGATAAGAGTTTGAGTTATTCTATTAATTATGTGCACAATTAAAGCAACTCATGCCTTGAACATCATAAAGATGAACATACTTAGAATAATCCACTAGAGCAAAATACTAACAATTGTTCTGCTCAAGTTGAAAGAATGTTTTTTCTTACGGACAATTTTTAATCTTGTTATCGGTGTTGGCCTGAAGCAATTAACATTACGGAGTGTCGCAATTTTTGGCAAAAGAAAAATATCTTTCTTCTAACAGAATACAAAAGCAGTATTTGAGTTCTGCAAGGAATGAAATAACAATATTCGATAATTGAGAATGAGTTAGATCTTCGATGGGACCACTACTACTAATTACTTATGTACATTTCATTTTTTGGTCTGCATAATACAGTCTTTGTTATTTATTTAAACTATAAATTTTCTTTCAGAGTATCTCATGTATTACAGATATTTCTTCCATCATTGTGACAAATGACAAGATCTAATGAAGTTTTATTAGAGCTAGCGTGCGATCTGGATGAATTTATACTGCTAATTTGTACAGCCACTACTGTTTTTTCGTGTAGTATTTTGTTTGTGATCACCCTGACATACACTTGAATTAGTCAAAAGAACTCATAATGTATTTATAGCACATATCTTTCTTGTGGAAAATATTCAATTAATTCATGTGCATGAAGAAACAAGTTTAACCAAGGAGATGTTTTATGCATTTCAATTTTAGTTTCTCATTGCAATTGAAACGTAGTTGAAAAATAGAAATACAATAGAGTAAATACTTTCATTGAACGACTTCATGTTGAAATACAATGAATGATTTCAGAATACATAGAAAATCTTTTCTGTTTTGAACTTTTATTGTCATAGCAGTTTCCAATAATTTTTTTAATGAAAATACGTCGATTTGATTTCTAAGTTCTTTAAAGACCTTCAATATTGTAAAGAAAAAAAAAACAGATGATCAACTGAATGTCTATTATGTGAAAAACTAAAAAGAATTTTTGATATACTGTATATTGAATATTGTGTCAAATTTTACTCGACATTCTCCAAAATACCATAAAAAGAAGCTTTTAAGATATCACTTCATGAATTTAAAACTATTTCTTTAGAAAAACAAATCAATAAACTTACAAATTATCATCGACTGTCATCAGTGATTTTATTGTTAAATTGGATTGCTGCTGTCGATTGTAGAACAGTCAGCACTGATTAGTTTCACGAAAACTATTCATCCCGAATGCAACAGAACAAGTCGTCATTCGACGACTGCTTCTTTTTACGAAAAAATGCATAATCAATTAGATCCTTAACGATGAACACTGGAAGTGATGTGACGGTCTTTTCTTCATAGTAACAATTCATATTTTTGCTTCGAACTGAGCTGATTTGAGTCGAAAAGTCGTTGACTTGCCTAGAACTATCAGTGAACACTGATATCAGTGTAATCAGCATTTTTGTGAAGCTTGTGTTGGTGACTAACTATGTAATATTTACAACACCACTGCACACTCTTAGTATAGACGAATAATTTATTTATCAATCAAGAGTATTATTTTATAAGCAAACATTCTTATATTTTGATACTTTCTAAAACTAACGAATATTAAACGCTGTTATTAAATGTGTTTGCATAGAAAGTCTAAGAAAATTCACGAAGCAGTGTTAATAAGTATCAAGTCGCTTTTGTGTTTAGAATATGTGCATCATGTGTGCGTTCTAATGAGCAATAGATATTCTGGAAAGAATTTAGACCCTTAGCTTATTACTACCGAGGCACTGAACTTTTATGTAAATTTTCTGATAAATACCAGAGTTTCTCTCAAAAACATTAAAAAAAATTGATTTTCAAACTTCGACTTGAAACTAGTGGCGTAACCAGGATTTTCTAGTATCCTAGATCTCTGTTAGAGAGCATGGGTCCCAAATGAAAACTTATGTACATTGATATTGGACTGAAATGATGAGTGTCTATCGGAAAAAATTTTGAATCAGAGTTTGCAAAAAAAATTAGCATTTTCCTGAGCCCTACCAGAAAATGTTTCACATCTGTAACGATATGTCGTTTTCAAGAATGCCATCGAAAGCTACATCAAATTTCGTCGACAGATTTCAAATTTCATTTAAAAAAATTCATCCGTTCAGAAGTTGTACGGTTTTCAATTCTTGGTGAATATTTTTTGAAACGTCTCGAATCTTAAAAATGCCATAACTTCTGAACGGATCCACTTTTTTAAATGAAATTTGAAATTGGACGATAAAATTTGATGTAGCTTTCGATCGCATTCTTGAAAACGACATATCATTAAAAATGTGAAACATTTTCTGGTACGGCTCAGGAACATGCTAATTTTTTTTGCAAACCCTGATTCAAATTTTTTTCCGATAGAAATTCATCATTTGAGTCCAATATTAATGTACATAAGTTTTCATTTGGGACCCATGATCTCTGATGGAGATGCAGGATACTGGAAAATTCTGGTTACGCCACTACTTGAAGCCTTGTACAGAGACAGGTCTTAATGCAAATCTTTTATTGTAAAAGTTTCAGATCTTTTCATTACTTCTGTTCCAAGATACGACTATGTGAAAAACATGTTTTTTTTTTATACTGCTCATATGCAACGAAAAATTGCGATGTTCTTATTTCAGCATAGGCACTTGAATCTCAGTGTTATTGGTGTCTCTGAAGAGAATCACAGCATTTTGCTAAAAAATGTAATATAGGGATAGTAATAATCTATTAGTGACCACTCTTTTCAGGATGTTCATAGTCTATTAGAACCTACTTAAACACCACTCTGTTCTATAGCTCCATCTATTGAATGCAACTTATCGATTGGTTGTCAAACTTTATCCATTGTCGTCATACATAGATATACTAATGTAGTTGTCCTCTTATAAGTAATCTTTCCTGTGTGTACGGCATTATTCATTCATTCAACTATATTCCTGTTTATTTTCTTTTTTCTATCAGTAATCATAAATTTTCAATAAATATCTTCCTTTCGTTCTTAGTAATGACTTCGTCTCCATCTCCATTCTCTAATACAAGTAAACTTCAAGTTTTACCAACACCAGTAAGTCTAATAAAAAAAAGAATTTTATTTTACAAATAAAATTTTCTCATTGAATAGACAACATTATTATTTACTCAATCTGTTAATAATAATTTAACTATAAATAATATTGGAAATACAACACAAAATATTCGACATACAAATACACAAAATGGAACATTTATTCAACAACACCAACAATCAATATCTAGTGGAACAATAACAACACCTACAAGTATTGTTCGTCTTAATACACCAATATCAACACAAAATCAATTTGCACCACAAACTCTTTGGACAAATAATACAACACAATCATCACCAAAACTTCAATATGCATCAACTCTTCAAAGAGGTAAAATTATTAAAGAAAAAAAAAATAATTTGTTTTTTTTTTTTATATTTTTAGAACCTTCTTCTCCAATTATTCAACAACAATCATCAATTTTACCAACGAAAATAGTTGCACAACCGGTTGTTCGTCAAACAGTAACAGCACAACAAACACCAAAATTTACTGATGCACAAATAAATGATTTTGTTGCTAAATGTCGAACATTTTTAACAACATTACTTAAACTTGCTGAAAAACAAGCACCTGAAAAATTACCTATGGTTCGATCATGTATACAAGATCTTTTAGATGGAACTATTGATCCAGAATCATTTACTCAACGATTACATACACTTTATAAATCACAACCACATACATCACTTGTGCCATTTTTTAAAGTAATCTTTTATTTTGTATGAAAGAAAACTACAGACAGAAAGTATAGTAAGATACTTCAATGATTTATGAGTATAACAAATTCATGTATTTTATCCGATACAAGATGGTTTAAAAGTTCATCAACAGGCTTTCTTACTCTATGACAGAATGATATTGATTGTTCACTCAGTAGAATTTAGAAAAATATCAATCGTTCTTCTTTGAATATGACACAGAAATTTAATGCTAAGAAATGCGCTCGAATTGTGTACTCACTACTAACACCTACACTAGCGTCGTACCTATAGCTTTTACTCAAATCAAGAGCGCAATTACGGGTGTAGATATAAAGCTAGTGTATATCTTGCAAATAATTTTTGAAACCATGCAATAACAACTCTCTTGGTTCTAATAAAAGTTATTTGCAATCAAAAACTGTTGGGTGACTTTTGAACCACTTTGTAATTATCTATAATTATTTCGAATGAATGTTGTCATTATTTTACTGTTGTATAGTTTTTGAAGATTTTGTTAATACAGACTAATCTTAATAAATAATATTCAAAATAATCACTTGTAAATAAGCTTCTAGTTATGAATCAGTTTCAGATTTGGCTAAGTATACATTCAATAATTCTTGTACTAATATCTATCATGAGATAGGTTAGATGATCTATAGAATATCTTAAAAGTTTCAGTTGAACAGAATATTTCTTTGTCAAGATATTGAATTTCCAAAAGTAGCCGTTTATCGCAGACATGGCAAAAGAATCTAGTTTACTTGTAAAGTCAATATCTCCACCAAAAACAAAAACATGTTTTTGTCGGCTAAAACTTTCACGTCGAAAACTCAATAAAACAGTCTCAACAAGGCGTCCTTGGATGCGCGAATGGCTGATACCAGTCCGGATAATTGCCTCATCAGTTTACAAAGAAACCTTTAATATCTATTATAGATATTTTTCTTTTAGTCTGTGTTTATAGAACCCGTCGTATTGATCTTCGATTCGATGTACTTTAATCGTCTGATAAATGAAAAGAATTTCTTACCCATCAAATACCAAAAAGAAAAGTACCTTGAGAGCAACTATTCAATTCGCCTTAGAAAATCTCATGGAGAGTATCAACCAACGATTCGATTAGGTCTGAAAATTTTGGACCTGAGGGATTCTGGTGTTTTTTATTTTTCTCATATAAGAATGTAGTGTACATGCATATGAAAAATTTTGTTTTTCGAAGCTGATTTTACAGCTAAACAATAACTACAAATTTATAATTACTAAGAAAATTGCTATTTGAATATAAATAACAAATACTAAAATTTTTCTTTCTTGTAGTTAGCATTACCACATATGCGTCAAATTGTTAAAAATACATTTGGTCGACCAATAACAATTGAATTATTAGAAAAATTAAATTTACCATCAAGTAAAGGTAATGTTATTAATAATACTTCAACAACAGTAACAACACCAGTAGCAACACCAACAACATCTCGAGTTGTTGTAAATCCATCTTTATTAAGTCAACAATCGACATCAGGTGTTCAACAACCATTATTATATACAACAGTACAACCACAACAAAAAATAAATCTTTTACAACAAACTTCTCAACCAACATTAATCAGTTCAACAGCATCATTACTTGGACAGCAGCAACAACAACAACAACAAGCTCGAGCTCAAATTGTAAATTGAATTATATCTTTAGTTTTAGTTTTAGTTTTTTAAATAAAAATTTCTTAGAGTATACGCCCAATTGTTGCAGCTGTTTCTCCATCATCGAATACAAATCTTTTAACGGGACAACAACAACAAATTCAACCAGTTTCACAAACAATTATTCAACCAACTGATTCATTTTTACAACGAACTTTTTTATCACCATCAACAGCAACAACTACACTTCATCAACCACAAATTATAACTGTTAATCATCAACCAATTAGAACAGATATTGTTACAAGTCAACCAACATCATTAATTAATACTTCATCACTTCAACAACAACCACAAATTCAAATTCAACAGAGGACTATACTTAAGTGAGTCATATATATTGATAAATTAGCATTACCAACAAACGAATAATGCTGAAGTTCTGCATTAGATTTTTTTTTTTTTTATTCGATATAATGTGACAATAAATCATCGTGAAGACTTGATAGTTTTCTTGTGAGAAGGCAATTTCACACAAAATTAGTAATGATAAATACATTTGATCGATTTGTCTTGCATCGAACTTTCAAAATTTTCACTGTTTCCGAATATGTATTCAGAATTATCTTCTGGGAATAAATTGAAAAAAATTATCATCAGATTGTTTTAAATTAGTGATTGTATAGAATACTATTTGGGTATTTCGTTTGAAATTTGTCAAATTCAAAATATAAAACAGTTTTTAACAGCTCAGTTTTTTAGAATAAAGTTTGCTATATGAAGCGTGTTATTCATTTTTACATTTTTTAACGAATACTGATTTATGTAGACACTAGGTCTTTAGTAGAAACTCATAGAATGAGATTTTGTTTATTGTGACATCTTATCTTGTACAGAATTCAATGCTTTACAATAATGATGAGTTAAAGCAGTTCCAAGATATAAACTATGAGCTTTGTGTAGATGTAATTTTCGACTTCGTTTTGGTGATTGTTTTAACTAGTTGGTTTTTAATAGTGGAGCAATGAATGAATATTTTATGTCAAGACTTTTACGGCATAGGTTAGGAAACAAAGTCACAGATTTCATAGAAAACAGTTTTATTTAAAAAAAGTACTTGATTTTTCTTGTACAATACCTAATAGGTTTTTTTTTTGTTTATAAGAAAGAACTAATATTTTGTTATATTTGATATGCTTCCGCCGAGCACTCACATAAGCCTAATTGATTGCTGGAAAAAATCTTATTTTTCGCTAGCAAAAGTTGTTTCACAAAATATCAAATAAAAGAGGAAAATAAGATTAATTGTTTTCAATGAATGAAGATTTTGTTCTAAAAGCCTAGAGACGTGCAGAGAACGTTTGGAGTCAAATGTGTTCTTAAAACTTTTCGACTTTCGATAAAGATTTTGAACCAAATGTTTTTATATCGTTTTGCAGTAGAGACCTTGCTCTTTCTAACAAGAAAACTATCCACAATGAGTTGTTATGTTATTGGGATCTCTAGATGATGCTACGATAAAGTTCTTTTGTTTTTCGGCACTTAGTAAGATATCCGAAAACAGAGTGAAACTACAAAAAATGATTATAGTCACGTTGTGAAAAATGTTTAGGTAGAAAAGATAACTTCATTATTAATAGAGAAAAGTAAAAGAGTACGTCGTTAGAATATTAAGACTTATTAAATATTTCAAACTAATGATAAGTCGTCAGATGCTATATGTAAGACAAATGATTGACAAAGCACATATTTATTTTCTAATTAAAAATTTTCATCAAATTAAGCTTGAATTTAGAGTCATTGTTTTCATCTTCTAAATATGAATCAACGAAAATTTCTTTGATATTCAGTTCTCCTATATTAGTAAATACAATCTTATAAAACTAAAATCGAACGTTTTGCTAGTATTTCAACAAAAACAAAATCTATTCTCTAAGTCATAAAAAAAACCTTTTGAATTTACTAGATATATTATTATTTTATAGAAATGAAGACGAATCATTGGATGATAAAGTCGGAAATAATGGTTTGTTGACAGTAACATCCGGAACTGTTGATGATCGTCACACACGTCATATTGCTCATGATGATAGATTATTATCTGCGCTTATTTTACGTCGACGTTTCGATCATTTAGGTAAAACGAAGAAGCAAATATCAGTTTGGTTATTTTGTCTCGATGAATTTTATTTAGTTAAAAAAGATAAACGATGGGAAAGTAATAATATAACAATACATGATGATTCTGTTCTTGCACTTATTTCTCATGCAACTGAAGAAAGACTTAAATATTTAATTGAACAAATTAAATCAGTTTCACAACAACGAATGAATCTTTCTATTCAGGTAAATTATATTAATTTTTATAGAGAGGAAAGAAAAACAAATAATAATAAATTTCTTGTTTAAAATAATTTTTCATATGAATAAACAAATGAGAGATTAGTTGATTGATTTATTTTCTAAATAATTATTTATTCATTGTTTTTCTTTATTAGAGTCAAAGAACTAATGATTCTGAAGAAGTAAAGACATATGCAAATCTCTCAATTATTTTTCTTTATTATGATATTTTTCATTTGTTTAAAATAGATGCAACAAACTCATATGGACACAACATTAATCAATGGATCAGTACAAAAACGTAAATTTGAAGAAACTGTAAATGAAGATCAACAAATAACAAAACGAATTTCTTCTAATAAATCAACAAATATATTTAGTCTTAATAAAAAATTAGTAGGTTTACTTATATGAATAAACACACCTGGAAAAAAAAAACAATTATTTTAAATATTTTTCAGAAATTAAAAAAACGTAAATGTCAAGCAAATCTTCAAGATTTAATACTCATTATGGAAAAAGATAAACACCTTAAAAGATCAGCACTTGTATTCAAAGCCCTTGATAAATCATCTTAGAAGATTAGATTATCAAACATTAATGTTTCTTTTTTTTTCTGTTTTTCATTATGTCATTTATGTTTCTTACATGGTTTTACATGTAAAATATTTCATTTAAGATACTAAAATACACTTTATATCTTGTTTATGTACATGTGTCTATTTATTAAATTTTTTTCTGTAAATTTATATCATTGTCACTGAATATTTCGTCCTATTTTTTTTTTTGTACACATTCTCTTTATCTCTCTTTACAGTGAAAGCCAAGGACTGCTCTTTGATAAATATGAATGAACGATTGATTCATTATTTTCTCTTTTTTCTTATTTCTTTACTTATCAAACAAAAATAATAGTTTTTCCGTACTCAAAGTGCAAAAGCTGCATTTTCGTACATAATGGTAATTGTATTATCAATTTTGACAATGAAAACATGACAAGAACGTGGTATGTTAACATTTAGTGAAGTTGATGGTACATAAATTGTACTAATTGCTTTTTAATAGAGAAGACAATGTCGGCTAGATTCATCAGATCGATCTCGGACTTCACTGTAAGGCATCCAGATGGTGATTAGCTGAAAATTTGAGAATGTACTCCTTTAATAAGTTAAGTAGAGCAACGATATGCAGATCTTTTTTCTTCTTCTTATCATTACCCGAAAAACGCCGATAGTAAATATTAGGAGCCTGTTATTGTTTTCTGAATAATAAAGAGATAATACTTTGGAGAAAATGATATATATATATAATCTGGAACTGCATCTTCGACTTCATCGATATGCAAATAAAGGAAACTTTCACTGTTATCTGTGTAAGATTTGAAAAAAAGTTATTCTTCGTTCACATCGAATACTTTTACGGAAACGTGTGTTCAGTATAGTGAGTTTGGATAATTTTCCGTAACTTTCAATAGAACGAGATTTTCAAAGAGTACCGCTCCATCTATAACATTTATCAAGCGTTAGTGCGGTCATTCCAGAGTTGAGCTGAAGATTTTTTTAGATAAAAGTCATTTTTCGCAATATAGAAACACTTATTGAAAACTAATTTCATATTTGGAATCGACATTGAAAAATGCATCAATAATTCAGTTAAGTATTTTTTTGATTGTTTAGTCTATGGAAAAATGCTCACTGTAGACTATGTTCAGCACCGATCCAACGAGTCATACTCGAAAAGTAAAAGTGCTGAATTTAGAATACCCATAAACTCCGAGACAATAATTTTCTGCAGAACATCAGATTATGTATTGGATACTTGTACATGCTCATGTGCATTATGCTAGCAATGATTTTATAGATAACTTCATCGAATATTCAGAAGTAGAGCCCGACGATTCCGAAAAAAATCGAAATGAGGACCGTCGAAGTCGAAAATTTTTCACTCATAGCTAGGGAGTAAACTCAAATAGTTTTTTGTCTGAAAGCTTATTTCTTCAAAAAACTACTTTCAACAAAGACAAAAAAATATGTTTCCTTGAACAAAATTTTATTCAAGTTTAACTTTTTTCATAAAATTTACTAGATCTCAATGTTTTCTGTGCAACTAAGAGCAAAGAATATACTTTCGGTTAAGTTGGCTGAATGTCATTGAACATATGATAGACATAAAAAAATCAGTATTATAAATATACTTAAATTATCCTAGTTCCATTTAAGAACGAGAAATACCGCTAAAGTTTCGTTTCATATGATAACAGTGATAAATTCCTCATTCTTTTTCTTTTGAAAAGATTACGTTTTCAAAAATAATAGACATTAACAATCTCAAAAAATGAGATATAATTTTAAAACTTTCTAGGACTGACTATTATATCAGTTATCTAGTATATTATTATTAGGCCATCGACTCCATAGATACTCTTTAGAAACCGTTTGCTTTTCGTTTCTGTTAACCAGAATCGAACCATCGACTTCAATTGCGGGTATTTCTTTGAACCGTCGATTTCTATCTAAAAGTATTTCAACATCAAAAATTTAGATACCAAAGAAATATCTGATTATTGTATAACGTTCCTGAAACATACTGGTAATAGAATATTCATAAAGATAGAGAGAATATCTTGAAGTCAGTATACTCACTAATGATATCTTTTCTCCCTTTCTTTCTATCATAAGGGTTTTATATTGTCATTTTGAATCCGATACAATAATTTGATTGAAGAACTACATGGTTTTCGGTTGAAAAAGCTGTTAGCGCAATTCATACCAAATTAAAATGTGAAACACGATATAATTATTGTTGTTAATCATTGAAATATTATTCTATTCTATTTATTTTGAGACACATTTCTTCACTATCCATTAACTTAATCCTTCAGACTTACAATATGGAAGTAGTTTATATATTATAACGAGACGTGATTGATATACGATGTATGATAAAGGAGAAATGTTGGTGTGAATGACTGTAGTGAGTTGTTTCTAACATGTCGTCATTATCTGTGATGTTTCCATGGTGTTGTCTGTTATAATCTATGGGGATTAAAGGTGATTTTCTGATCTGTTAATTTCAAGATTTAGTGCAGATTTTGTTTTACTAAATGTCAAGTAGACATTTGACTGACACATCGATTAATAACATTGTATAAATCGATGTTTTCTCACTGACAGATTACTAATGAGAATAGAAACAAACAATAACAGCCGAACACTAAAAAAGATACACCTAATTCAAAAACAATTCTTCTGACAAAAATATTCTTCGCAATTAGTCAACAGAGCTAAAGATTATATGCATTATAAAGAATACAGAAATAGTATTGATGTATAATGAAATAAGCTTAATCATCAGTCTAATTGGAATTCTTCCGCAGTATAGACATAACAAAATCTATTCATGAAACATGTTTGAACAAATATTTAAAAAAATCTCGCACAAGGTTAGTTCAAAGATTCATCATTAAATGCGATTAATTAAGTACTATAAACATATTTTCTTTCTACTGTAACAGATAACTAGAAAACTTCAGATATTCTACATAATAGTCATGAAGTCAAAGTTAAAAGTTTATCTATTTTAATTCCCTTATCCAAAAAAAAGTTCATTTCTGTCACACTAATCGAAATTTAGATACACTTATGGGAGAATCTATTAATGTTCAATCTTTTACAATAAAATGATTTTTTTTCCAAAAATTTTTTAGGACTTCCTCTAACTTCTCTTTGAAAAATATGTTTTTTTTTCTGATCGTGCAATCTCGGACGCTTCGAAGAACTTTGTTCTAGCTATTATTGTTTGAAAGAGTATGTCAATATATAAAGTCTGTTAGATTTCTTTTTCTTAATAAAGCTTTTCTTTTCTTTTATCTATGAGGATTGCAAAGTACCTGTCCCGTCACATCCTAATATGTCAAAATTCAATATCATTCGCTGTTCTCAATCCATTTTTATGCTTTTGTTGATGATCAGGTTCCACTAAGAAGTTCTCACTATCATGTAAAAGGAATCATAAATTTACCGCAGATAAATCCTAAGCTCTGAGTGAATAAGATCTAAAAAGAAGATATTTACTTTGTTCTATTGTTAAAACATGTAATAAAGCAGATTTCTTTTCTTCTGATTTACATGTCGGAAGTTGGCGGAATTAGAGCAGACAATCTATAATTTGTGAATACAAGACTGAATAGTAGTTTTACTATGACTTCTATTATATATTTTTTGTTCTAAACATTGAATAAACAATCATTGTCGAATTATTTGTCATGCGAGATTACAAAATAATCCTGAGATTGAATCATTCAACTAAATACGATCTGGCTAGTGTTAAATGAAAGCTAGTGAGTGAGAAATAAGTTTGTTTAAACCGACAAGAAAATTATATTACTCTTTATTTGTTAAAGCTGTGTATGAAAAACTTAAATATACCACGAGATTTTTTATTTTGTTCGATCTTTCATTCTCTTATAGTACGACAGTTTGAGATGAAACGTTAATCATTTTTATCTGTTTAATGTAGCCATTTGGCATTCCAAATATTAGCATTAGAAAACTTATCGTGTATAAGAAAGAGAAACAAATAATGTTAGTATATGATATGAGATTTTCTATAAGAAAAATGTCAAAGAAATTTATCACGTGCATAATACTTCGCAGGTAAGGTCACAGTGAATATATTACTTGTTATTTCTTTTCATATCTTGATTGCTACTAAAATTACTGCAAACTGATTCTGAATTGTGTCTCATACAAGTCATTTTGTCCAGATGACGTCATATGATTAATATACAGCATAAAAAACACTATTAGTTGAGATTTATTCAAATTGCAGTTTCAGTCACATATTGTGACACAAAAATAAAGTTCTGTCTACGTACAATTTCAAGTATTCTTAACCAATTTTGTCAATCTCTCATATTTCTGCTGAAATTTAACGTATATGCAGAAAAGTCGAATTCAGGTATTTTGTTGATTTTTGAACATTTGTTATCTATCTTTGTCATACTGATATTGAAAGTCTGTAAAATTTAGTCGTTTCCGCATCTTGTATAGTTCAGTAGAACATACTATTAAACATTTTTCAAATCCGGAATTTTATTTCTCGAGTAACTCATTCAAGTGTACAAATACTACTATAAATAGATTATCATTTTTACAGAGGTTTTCTAAAGTATCAAATTTACTATCCATACCCGTGAAATAAAAAGTAATAGTTTTAAAACAATAGTTCTACATGTCTTACAGTTTGACATGCTTTTTCGAAAAAAAAAGAAAAGTGACAGATATAGAATAGAAGTCTACAGAAAATTAGTATTTACCAAATGGTCTAGTTTTGGCACTTGTTTATTGCATATCTCCTTGAAATATCGCTGAAAAATTCAGGCGATTTGAATATACTTGATCGAAATCGATTCTTTGAAGGTAGATGAAATCTTAATGAATAGGTTACAGATATTATAACACTGATTTGAATAAATTCATAAAATCTTTTGTACAACATGAGAAGTTCTTTTGATGTGTAAAATGTCGTACGTTCTTCTAAAGTACTGTCATTTTCTATGTACACAGATCATTTCTTTATGACTCACAAAGTTAAACACATTGCGGATATCCATGAGTGGGTGTTGTCTATGATTTTAATTTGATTTGCACTTTTTTATTTCTATTTTCTTCTGTTCTTTACTTTTCTTTTTAACCAAGAATATAAAATTATTCAAATTATTTTTAAGAATAAAAGCATATACGAACAAAAACAATGATTTTTTTAAATTTCCATCATCATATTTTACTTTTCTCCTATGTTCTTATTATATGTATTCTACCATCGATCAATGCAAGTCGATTTCAAATACGAAATTCTTTACCATTAAAATTAAAACCAGCTGAATACAAACAATTTGCTAAATATTGTTATATTGATGATTATTCGACATGGTTACAAAGACAACATGAATTCATGATATGGTTCGAGTTGGCTATGGTACTTAAATTACCGATTCATGAAGATAAACAATTTTTACGAGAATACAATCAATATCGTCTTCAATATGAATGTTTACGAGCTGTTGAACGTTTACCTGTTTCATTTGGTCCTGGATAAATATGAAATACAAACAAAAGAAAAAAATAGACAGAATGCATGAAGCATCGTTTCAGACGTGTAGATTCTATTAAATTGTATCTTTTTAAGAATATACAATTGAAAGAAATATATCATATGCATTGTTTTAAATTTATTTTAAAAAATATTATATTTAACAATGATTTGACATTTTTAAAGATGAAATAATACGTTCTTTGTATTATTATTATTGAAAATCAGATTAATGGATTAATGTTTTTCTATTAGATTGAAAAACCAAGAAGATTAACATGCTTGAGATTGAATAGATGATTACATGACTTTAATAAAAAGAACATTAATTGCATGAAATGAATAGAGATAGACAGGTTTCAAGTTCAAGGTTCAGTTCTAGAACCAGTGCTCTCCACAAAATTTTGTTCTGTTTCAGAAACGACATTTTTACTGACATAACAAAGATTATTTTTTGTAATCGAAAATATATTTTCCATAAAAAGAACAAGAAGTTTTTTTTACAGAAGGTATCATTTTTAAAAACAGAACCAAAATGTTTTGCACCACTACAAATAGAAATCGTCAAGCTCTCAGTACAAAGTTCATATAAAATGAGTAGAAGAATCGATAAAAGGGTGTGGATGTGAATCGAAACATGAAGATCAACAGCCACACCCACACTCTTTCTTGAATAGCATCTTCAAAGTCCTGATGTAAAACACTGAATAAATCAATCATAAATAATGCAGCATCACTATGTCTGTTCTTGATGCGATATATAACAGTAAAGATAAAAATAAAAATAAACATAGCCATCATATGGTTCATTATCCATAAAATGGAGTCATTTAAAAGATCGATGAAATACTTCATACTGAATGACACATATAGCAGAGATGTCCATCGCGGCGCTGCCGCTGCCGCTGCCGCTGCCGCGCCGCTGCCGCGATGGCGGTGGCGGCGCGGCAGCGGCAGGTTTTTTTAAAAAATCACCGCGGCAGCGGCGCGGTAGCGGCAGATTTTTAAAAAGTCAACGAGGCAGCGGCGCGGTAGCGGCAGGTTTTTTAAAAAACCATCGCGGCAGCGGCAGGGTTTTTTTGGAGAACATTGAAAAACTGTATGAATTTAATAGAATTTCAGGATTTACAAATGAAACGCCCTGATATTGAATAAATCTGATGGACTAGTACCCATATCTCTGGTCAAATATAGTCACAGCAGTGAAATTAGAAACACTTTTTTGAAAACCGTCGCGGCAGCGGCGCGGTGGCGGCACGTTTATTTTATAATTCATCGCGGCAGCGGCGCGGCAGCGTTTCTTTTATAAGTCATCGCGGTGCGGCAGCGTCGCGGCAACATTTTTTTATAAACCGTCGCGGCGCGGCAGCGGTGCGGCAGCTTTTTTTTTCTAAGGCCGCGGCGCGGCAGCGGCAGATTTTCAGCCGCGATGGACATCTCTGACATATAGCTCTATACATACAGTTCCCATGTGATAAAAATTGGCGGTTTATCGCGGTTCAATCGGTCTGATTACCGGCTCTCGTAGCTGCAATTAACCATGGTAAACTGCCATTTCTGCTCGGTCTATCGCGGTTAACCGCCAATCTTATCGGTTAGCCCATGACTTTTGACGATGAACTGTGATAAACCGTCGATTTTGACAATTTTAAATGTCGTTGTTGTGTAGATTTCTGTATGATAAAAACGGGCGGTTTAAGTGATCCGGTTACCGACTTCCATTGCTATAATTAACCATAGTAAAACGCCAGTTTTGGGAAATAGCGTGGTTTACCACTAAAATTGATACGGCTTTTGCGACATTCATATAATCGAAAATAAATATTCATTAATCATGACACTAAATGAAATCCATTTCGAGAAATGTTTCAAAAAAATGCAATGTGTCAAGAGAAAATGTGATTATTATTGCAGAGGCACAGGAAATTCATTAATGCAGTATCAAGTGAGTTACAAACATAGGGGATGCTCAATGGCATCTATCAATATCATACGTGCAATCAAATAAAACATCTTTATTTCATAGTCAATGCCAGTTTTGATCATTTGAAACATGTTTCGACAATATATTCTAGAAATCAACTTTTTACAATAGAAAATAATTAATGATACAAGAAAAGGCACCTTCATCAATTCATATCATATCATATGCTACATTTATATAATCAATCATAGGTATACTGATTTTCAAAGTTTTTGATGCTAAATTTATCTTACCAGGTCAATCATGCTCGGTCATACACGACTGTATACCAACCAATTACGGTGAATACAGGCAGCTGTTTGCGTCAGCCATACACAGCAATCGTAAACGATGGTTTAAAGCATATTACGGCAACTACAAACGATGTCCGTAAAAAATTGCTGTTAACGATCAGTATAGCAATATGGCGAATGTATACGCTGAGCAGATAAAATATCGTAAGGCATCGTAGACGTAAACTGTTTGCGATAACAGTTTACAGCAATTGTAAACGATGCTGTGCTATGAATTGTGGTCAGTGTTTACAATCATCGTAAAATTTGCTGTTAACGAGCAGCGTAACAATACAGGGACTGCAAACACTCATCAGGTAATATCGTAAACCATCATAACTGTCAACTGTAAATGGCTTAAGAAAGAATCATCGTTTTCTATCATACTTCGTCGTAAGCAGTCGTTAACAGTGACGCACTGCTCTCATTGAATAAAAGTAACATGTGCTCGTCACCAGTTATACATGTCGCCAGATAACGATAATTGTGTTTCGACAAAGCCGCGAAAGGTGTGAATAGTGTAATGGGTGCGTGAGTGGTAAGGGTGTTGGCGTAGCGTGTGACTGTGGGTGTGATGTGTAGGTGTGGATAAGGGTGTGGATCTCCTCTTCATCTACAGCTACGGTCACATCCACACCCACTCTCAAAACTACATTTACTTGCCCACATCTATACGCATACCCAAGCTCGACCTCAGTATTAAGTTGACGTACAAAATCTTATATGAATATGATAGAAAACTATCGTTTGTTATTGTGTCGTGAATCAACATATTTATTATTTTCAAATGTCATATTATAAAAAAAGAATTTCTAAAGAATATAAACTCTATTATAGCAATCTCTTCATGATAAATAGTCGATACCTTAGATATAAATTTTGATTTTATTTAAAAAATATATATATTTTTCCTGAATACAAATACTTAAAAATAGAACATATTAGCATGTAAAAGTGAAATTGCGCCTAATATATAAGCAAGAATAGTATCAATAAAAAATATAAATGCTGAATAACCATTAAGATGAATTTGATCAAGTATTTGAATTAATGTTAATGTCATTGAAATACCTCCACCAAATAATGTCAATGGCACAAGTATGTAACATTGATTTTTATAATCAATTGTTATTGTCATTAAAAAACATGATGAAAGTGTACTTATTGTTAGAAAAATAATACTAAATAAAACTAATAATGTTATTGATCGATCTAATTCTTTTGTATCACAACAAAATGTATTTGAACATTGTTGAAATAAACCTGTTCGATTAGTAATTGAATTTTCATATTCTACATTCCAGTTATTTGTTGAAATAGATAAGATAGTTGTGCTTAAAATAAATATAGCTAAGATGGAGACAACTAAATCGTTAGCAAGTTTTTGATTTGAAACCATGATCTTGTGTAAATAGAAAATGAGAGAGAGAGAGAGACAATGATAATGATTGATTCCTTTCTTTTTTCTTTTATAGACACTTTTGAAATTTGATATTCAAACTGTCTGTTATTATTCACATCATTAGAAGTGTACGTTAACTATTCATATTCTTTTGTTTACAACAATAAATTAATTGAAATAGAAGGTCAAAACTATCACATGAGAGGTGTGAAAGAAACGAACAAACATGTTGAAAATAGTTTTACAACTTGTATATAGATATGGATCTTTTTTTTTTTTTTGTTGAAAGTATTATTTTTGTGGTTTGTTCAATTATGTTATTCACTAAAAGTATCCATCAAATATTTTATCACAAAAAGAGCTCAACAAAAAAACACACCTAGTTTACATCTGTCAATGCAACATTAATTGGTTTCGATTGAGTAGAGTTATATGTAGAACATTATTCACTATTTTAATTAATTCAACATTTATAGATCAATGAAATTCTCTTAGTTGACATAAGATGGATAGGATATCTAGACGACGAAATGAAGTTTTCAAGGCAAAACAGGCCTCTAGCAAATGCAGGATGGTTGAAAAAAACTACGTCTTTTACAAAATTATCTTGTTGTTGAATCACTTTTGTAATAAATATAGTGAACGAGAGAAGTATTCTAATTGATAAAACGCTTCTGAGACCAGGCTATTCACATTATTTAGACCCAATTCAGCTATGAATATCCTTAAAACAGTTCGTGCCTTTAAGGTTATTGCTACGAAGAGATTGAGTTTTTATAATATTTTTTTACTGAATGCCATGATCTTCCAGAGAAATATCGGGAAGATTGGTTTTTCGAATTTCGATGTACAATTTTGCATAGAAACAGGTCTTAACGAGAGTAGTTTATTTTAGAAATTTCAGATCTTTTCGTTTACCATCTATCCTGAAATAAGAATATCAAATCTGCCTGTTTATATCTGCGATCTAAAAGACACACTATTACTATAGGATAAAAACAACAAAAGGACCTAAAACTTTCACAATAAATCATTCTCGTTATGATCTATCTCTACGCAAAATTTCGACACGAACTCCTCTCCAGATATTCATAGATGATTTTTGTCTACATAATGCACATAGTTTCGACTAAAAATCGATTGAACAGTTGAAGGACTTCCATCGTACGCAAGATTGATCATAGTTCATATGCAATTACTCCTGAGAAGATTGTGTAAGGTTTTTTTTCAAGTTCATACAATTTTTATTTTTTAATATGTAATCTGTTCAACAAGTATGAAAAATAACATAAACAAAAAGCAAAATAACAGTAACAATGAAATATACACAAACATATTTAAAGATAACTTCGGCTAAACGTATGGCTAATAGCTATTGTTGTTTCATGTTCAATCATATTTACTATTAAAAACACTTCAATATCAAAAAAAAAAATAGAATCATGAGTAACAAAAAAAAAAAAAGAGAGAAAAAAGTCTCTTTTTCATTTTATCTTCAAGATCAAAGCAAAAATTTTATACAAAAATATATATGGAATAGTATTTAAAAAAATAGAATGCATGTATAGATATATATATCTGAGATCAAGATGATTTTATAGCTTCTGCTATGTAACGTTCAATATGTTCTTCAAAATCTTCCATTGAACAATCCATTGGAATTGACTAAAAAAAAGAAGATTAAATATTAGAAAACATTAAAACTTAATCAAAGAACCATTCCACACAGATTAAATAATTTAGTTGCTTCTGATTGTAAATGTTGAGTTGATGTTCGCCAATGTTCTTCATCAGTTTTATGTTGTTCAACAATCTAAATGAACAAATTTATTGACGAAAAAAAGCTGTAAGTACAATTCCTACAAAATTAAAATGTGAAACACGATGTAACTATTCTTATTAATCACAAAGAGATTGCTTTATTCTATCTATTTTGAAAAAAAGTTTCTTCACGATGCTTTTACTTAACTTTCAGAAATGCAAAAAGGAAGTAGTTCTTATATTATAATGAGGTGTGATTGATTTACGCTCTTTAATCTTATATTAGTAACGTCTGTCGCAGTTCGTAGAGTTTAGAACGTGTTTTACAAAATATAGAATTTTTTAATATTTACTTTTGTCATTTTTTCTCGATAAGATTGCATAAAAGCTGCAATATCAAATTGACTAAGATCATCATAACTCATTGCTGAAATTTGTGCATGTGTTAATTTCCAATCAGGTGGTAACATAAACTAAACAAAAACAGAAGGAAAATTTTTATTAATAAAATTTGTTTTTCATCATAGAAATTTTAACTTTAATTAATGCTTTTAATTTTTTTGCAATAATAGATAATGGTTCTAGTTCATTAACAATTGTTTCAACTGATGTTATTGTTGGATCTGTTGATGGTGGTGGAGCACCAATATAAGACCATGCTGATGATTTATAACTGAATGAATAATCGAATTCAGTTGTTGGAAATTCATCAAAACGCATTTTAAAAATGCCACGTTTATCATTTACACTTAAAACTGTGCCGGTACGTCGAGCACCTTGATACATTGCCCATAGACGTGCACCAATAGTTGGTGGTGGAAGAAGATTATTTGATGCTATATCAGTATTATCAATATTTTCCGTATTATCATCATCATCAATTAAATGAATATGATGTGTTGATGTTACGTAATCTGTTAGTGAAGTCTGTTGAATATTTGAACGTGAATTCTAGAAAAATGTATTTAAAAAATTGAAAAGAATATGAATGAAAGATTTGAGTGGGTTGATTAAGTTTCGCAATAGAGTCAACGGGTATCATACAAAACATTGTGTAAAATATGCTCTTCTATAAGACAAAAACGTTTTTTTTTGGAGAAGAGGAATCAAAGGAAACTATTAGCAAAAGTGCTCGCAAGTCGATAAGTTGGAAGCTATGAAGATACTTTAATAGTCGATGAAAAGTATTTTTGAGAGTTTAGAGACGATACAAAAGGTACCTGGACTCGAGTTTTAGATAACTCTTTGATTATCTCTGTATAGAATCATAAAATTATTCTCTTTTCGAGTTAACACTAGTACGTATCCAACTATTAAAGCGCTTTTCGCTTAAGACTATTTCCATTCGATTAGTCATGATGAGTAGTGAAAAAGTCCAGTTTTCTGGTCTTCGCTTACCGAACTACGGATGTTTTACTCGATCTTCGTCCTTTGAGGATAGAAACGATGAGAACTTCGCTGATTGAATTCGGAACTGAAACTTTGTCCATAAATAGGCCTTATAGACAGTAGAAATATTTTAAAATTTGAGCTAGGACGAGCGTGTCTAAATAGAGCTATCAGTTTGTCATTGAATCGTATTTTCTTTTTGAAACATAGCTCAAAACAGACGTTTCTTTCAACTGTAAATATCTTAGCAAGGATTCATTTGTTCTGACTCAAATTTTTGAGTGTTTTTAATGACTATGAGGTCTGTCTGTGGTTAAAAGTTCAGTTCAAAATTCAATCATATAGGTTCTCACTGATCCTATGCTGATAAGGCGAAAATCAAATAAAAAGACCAAAAACTTTAGATTTCTTCAATATTCATTAATGACTGATCGTATGGTGATAGGAATAAACAAAAAGTAACTGCATAGTTGGAGATATTCTCTCATCAATCCCGATAAACCTTACTTTCACGAAATAGACTGAAACAATTTCCTGTACATACTGAATGCAGAAGCGGACGAATGTTTTCTTTTTACATTTATTAATACTGTTATCTTTTTGACTTTTACTTCTCACTTCTTTTAACCACTGTCATAGACATTTTCACTTATTAAACATTATACTTTTTTTTCTAGTTGACTCTCCTTACTTGAATAGATGTTGATGTTTGATCATGTTTTTGTTGAGCAACTGATGCAAATGATTCTTGTTCATATTCATCAATTTCATCATCACTAATAGGATTATGAATTTTAGATTTTGATTCAGTTGATTGTTTTGAATTACATCGTTTTGGTTTCTTTTTAGGTTTTGTTTTTGTTGATAATGAACGAGATGAAGGTAGAGAACGTTTTTGAGAAGTTTTGGATGATGATGGAACGATACTTGAACGAGTTGATACTTTTGAATTCTAAAATTTTTTTTTGAATATACAGCAAAATAAACTAAATATGTATATTTATTTACAATATTCGTTGTCGTCGATGAAATTTCAGCATTTGATATACGTTTATTAGTTCCTAAAGATCGAGCTGGTGACAAAACTGCTCGTAATAATGTATGATTTCCACTGTTAGTTCCTTGTGATTGTTGTTTTAATTCTCCTTCAGGTATTATTTCAAGTTTTTCATTTGCTGAACATCTGAAAATATGTTTTTCTTTGTAAAGTTATAATTGAGTATAATTATATCAACAAAATACATACGTATTGTTAAGAATATCAGTATTATCGGAACATTGCCATGATTCAAGTTGATTTTGTGTTAAAACTTTAGCATTACCATTGTACGGTAGACGACGCCATTTTAAACATTTATCACATTGAATAAGCATTGGAATAGCTACTTGACGACGTTTGATTGTTTCAGGATCATTTAATGGTGGTCGATCAAGTTGATCATCTCGATAACCTTTAATATAAAATTAAAACATAATAAATAAGGTAGTGAAACATAAATTATCAGCCACTATTATTTTCTTTTTATCAATGACTCAAAATAAAGTTCAAAGAACCTGTTCTAAGCTCGTTCGATAGAGAATTTCTCGCTCAACAAAACTGTTCATTTGATTTTTGAAGGAAGTGTTTCTTGCTGATGTTTGAGTGATTTTAATCGTCTTTATGTTGGTTAGTTTAGTAGCTTCCAGTGTGGCCTATTTTTCGTCGACAAATAAAACTATTTTGGAAAAATCAAATCGACAATCTTACCAAATAAAAATTTTTCTAGCACATAGGCTTACAAAGGAACTGCTTAAAGTGAAATCCACTGTTTGAGCTCGTATTGGATTCGAAAGCAGGTCTCGATGAGAATAGAAAAAGCCCAGAATAGTTCTTCCCTATTAGCCTTCGGTACCGAGTTATGACTGATTCACTGTGTTTTTGATCCTTTTTAGGTAGCCTCCTAGACAATCGAATAATAAAATTTTGATCCAAAATGAGTATGATGAAAGTTTCAAAATATGCTAAGCGTCGTTATATCGAATCAAAAACTCCAGTACAGCGATCATAACCCGGCGATAAAGGTTCACGAAACGAATCGTTTTAGACTTTTGCTAGTTTCAGTGAGATCTGCCTACGGGCTCAATATGAGTCCAATTGATGAGTGTCACTTAAGATACCTCCATGGTTATAATGAACTCTTTAAACTGTGTTATGGGCTAACATAAAAATGAAAGTTGAAATTCATTTGTAATTCAAATACACAAACAGATTCTCTTACCATAGGTTGCCCAGAATTCTTTAACATAATGCTCAATTCCTGTATCAGCCCAATATTGTCGCATATATTCACCCATATTTTTAAGTAAAAATTGATATTCTTTTTCATCAGCAAATGATTGTTTATTATGTGTAGGTTCAAGTACAATTGAAGGAATATCAACAATACCAATAACACCACGACAATATCTATTAAATGAATAATATAAATTCTTAAGTTAGTTTAAAGATATTTTTTTTTTGAATTATATTGCAAATAGTTTAATTGCCTTCACTAAAATATAACACTTACAAGGTTTTTTTATTTGGTTGTCCAATTTTTTCATACATTTTAATAAGCCGTCCACAATTATAAACAAAAATTCCATCAGCTATTCGATTTTGAATATTTAATCCAAAAATAAATGTTAAAGTTTTTGTTGTAGTCATTTCCATACGTTTTTTTACAAGACCATTACGTAATCGATTAGCAATATCTTTTAATTCAGCTGCATTGATTTGTAATTTTCTTAATCGTATTCGTTCATCAATCGATGGTGTCATTTCATTTTGTTGTTGTATATGATAAACTTGTGAATCAGCTTCACGTATACGTTCTTCTAATGATAAAAGTTCTTTTTCACTCTTTTTTATTTCTTGTTCAGAACGTGTTTTAAAACGTGTAGATTTAAATTGATATTGTCGAGGTTTATACAATGTATATGATAATTTTTTTGTTATAACACGTCTTCCTTGTATTGTTATACGCATACGTGGTTCATAATAAAGAATTGAAACATATGCACGAAGTGAACGATATTCTGAAGGAATACTAAAACCAAGAAGACATTTTTTTTCTAGAACTTATAGTATACTATTACAAGTAACATATAATGAGTTCAAATTTTAAGACGAGGTATTGGTAACTTCTGCCACAGCAATGAAAAGGTCGAAGGAACGATCATTGGGTAGGCTTCTATAGAAACTGAGAACAATAGATGTCAGACTCCTTTCGCAGAGATTTTTAGCAACGAAAGAAGGCTAATTAACAACAATCATTAGACTATTCTAGAACATTTCAAAGCCGTCCTCGAAATCTGTATGGCTGCAATAAGTTTGTCATAGTTCTAAATAGTATAGTTTTTGATTTTCGTGTGGAAAACAAATTTACATTTAAGATATCAAGGATAATAAGTAGTGATTACAGATTGTAATGAAAGTAAGGTGTTTGGACCCACTGTAAAGAAAACTATTCGGGAATTTAATTTTATCACGTCTAAAAAAAATTCTTCAATATTCGGTGTGTGGATTTATTTAACCGACAACCACCACTGATGCAAAATCATCTCTCTTGAATTATGTTCTGCTTGATGATTGATAAGATAACTCACTTAAAATCATAGAATATTTAACTAATACTATCTACCCGGCAAACTTCCGAATTCTGGTTTTGCATATCTCTAGTAGTGATGTACTGGTTTGCCGCAGTCGTCATATGCACAACATAAAAAGAGTGAATTGATCAAGCTAGAGCTTTGGGAATAAATTAATATCATTATTTTTGAATAGACATGAGTGAGTAGGACCATCTGTTTCATATCAATTCAGAACACATGAGTCGTGACTCTCTGACATTTAACACAAGTTTTGCACGAGTATGAAATTTAGTCTGTTGTAGATGTTTTATTTAATGTATTTTGATATTTGTATAATAAAATTGAAGACCATATGTGAGTTCTACATTTTAATCTCAAAAGGTCTTCGCTGAAATTTTTTTTTTGTAGAATTGAAGTCAAATATTTACCTATTATCATCATCAATAAATAAATTTCTTCGGTTTTTTGAATCAATTAATATATCATATGGATCGGTTTTTATATTAAGTTCTGGTTCACCACAATCAGATAATTTTAAATTATATAAAATAATTAATGTTCCACTAGCAGATTTTATTAAACTAAATTGTTTAAAAAAATCATCAATTGTTTTAAATGGCGAATATTTTGTAATTAGATACATTTCAAGTTCATGTTTATTTTTATCGTATGTATATGTACGTGTACCATTTAATTGTTGATTATCAGTATTTTCAATTGGTTGTTGACTAGTTAAATCAAAGCAAGGCATAGGACACATTATTTGAGATATATGTTCTTCTTGATGGAATGTACGTGAAAGAAATAAACATGTACCAATATTATCTTTTTTTGTAAATAATATAAAATCATTTGATATACGCATAGCACCGGATTTTAAACCATTACCATATTGACCAATTTGAGTAGAATCAAGACTATGACGTTTTGCTGATTTACCAAAAACAATTACATTGAATACATCATCTAAGAAAATGAAAATTATTGATAATATTTTGCATAACATATATAGAAAATGCTGTTGCATTAGAAAATTTTTTCGATTATATAAATAATGAAAGTTGAGGATTTTAGTCTTGCATTCTTCTTTAGGATGCTACATTAGGGATAGTTCGATCAATTGCAGTTAATAATACGAAATAAAACTATTGATACTTGTAAAAAATAAGTATAATAATGAATAGATAAGTTAAAAGAATGATCTATTCAAGAAAGCGACTCATGACATAGTTACTTCAGTCAAACTGACCTACTATTGTCAAGTAGAACTATTCGAGAAGTATCACTTGTATCATGTCATATTAATAGTAGGTTTTCAAAACTTTTATATGATGCCCTACGATTGTAAATTATATATACAAATAGAAGTGTAAGCATTTACTTTTTAGGATGTCATAGTGTATCGTATGATTCAATCTGTTTTTACTATTTTCTCAGAACAAACACTAAAATTTACAGATTATTTCGTTGTTTTTGAAATATGAAATTTTTTGACATGCAAAAAAGTTTAAAACTGACCTCGTTTCTCAACAACAATACAACCGATAGAACTTACGAAAGTGTTTCTATTCGAATGGAAGAAGATAAAAAGAAAGTAAATAAAATTAGGCACTCCCGGTAGTATCTAGTATATGAAAAATTAAGCTTGACTCTATCTGACGTATTGCAGTTAAAAATCTGCGAGTGATGCTATATTAGATTGACAATTTTCGTTTAATGAACATTATAGTTGTCAAGAAGAAATGCCACATAAGAAAAGAATGAAAGAAAGCTTTCAGAATTTCTATAATTTACATGAACACCGAGTCCTTTTCTAATGAGTCGTTGTTCAGCAGTACCGGAAAGGAATCTTAAAATGGACAAAAATCTCGGACTAAATATTCGGTTTTTGCTGATAGTTCATCTTTTCTGAACATCCTTTATGAATTTGGATGATTTTTCTTTCGTATTGAAAATTAATGTACAATGATTTGAAAGAATAATAATCAATAAAATATTTTCTTACTAAAGATAAATTCATATATAAACCCTATAGACTAATAGTAAAATTTGTATCCATCCTAATTGGATTCAATCAACCTGATTTCAGAAATAATCCTTTTTTTTCTTGTAGTTATTTTTTTCATATTGCATTAAATTCCTACAAAGCTTTCTCTTTGAAAATCATGTTTTCCCTTCTTTATAACTCCCAAACATTTGATAATATTGACTTGAAATGATTCCTTCAATCATTTCAATAGTTTTCAGCAAATTACAACACATATATATATTTTCACCTTTTTCATAGATTCAATTTAAAAAAAAAATCCATTTCAATATTATTACTCATTGATTTCTATTTGACAAAACTTACCGTAATTCATTCCACAACCATCGTCCAAAAATGCCAAATAAAACCCTCCACGTAAATATGGATCTTTGCATGTATAAATATCAAGATTTTTTGCACCGGCATCTTGTGAATTATCAACTAGTTCAGCTAGTGCACCAAAAAGAAATGTATGTGTAGTTGAGTTTGTATGCAAATATTCAAAGCTCAATTGAGCTTTATTTAAACAATCGTATTGATCCTTCATCTCATAATTATCATTATCAAAAAAAAAAAAAAGAAAAAGAAAATACGTGCAATTGAAACGTAATGAAATAATTAATGATTTTACAAAAAAAAAATAAATACTTTAAACATAAATATATGAAGCAAATATATAAAGCAGTAATGTCTATTTGATGTGAAAAAAAAAGGACGAAGAATGTTCGACTTTAATGAGGACGATCAAGATCAAATGCATATGTCGCTTTTTTATGCATGATTAATTGATTATCGACAAAATAAAAACTATCTGATTTAGTTTCATTTGGATGTTCAATCATATCTTTAACTACGAAAACAAAATAACAAAGAAATTCAAAAAAAAACAAATATAGAAATGTAAAAAAATTACTTTGTTTGGAATCAAATTCAGGCATATCATAAATATGTTCAATAGAATTTCTTGTATTTGGTGGACAAAAACCAAAATCAAAATCAAATGATTTAATCAATTGATCACGAAAATAATGACGTTCAATCATGCGAAACGATTTTACTTCTCGATCACCTACTGTAAAATCAACTCTAAACAAAACCATATAATCAATCTATCAACTAACGAATATTTACAAATGTATAGAAAATTAAAAGAAAGCTAATCAATAAATCATAGATACAAAAAAAAAGATGATAACATTTTTTCATTTCTTAATAGAATATTTGAACATGTTGAATTTAATCAACTGTGAAAATACCGTTTTGATTACAGATGATGGCAATGAGTTAATTCTTGTGGATGAAACCCGTTGAATCCAAATTTCTGTCGAATTCGGACTCTATCTGTCAGATGAAGACAAAGTTAAAAGCACTTGGACCTATAGCTCAATAATTAACCATTTGAAGAGAATTTGTGTTGAGAGCAAGACATTTTTATAAAACCCTAAACAACGAGTTCTTCTCTGAAATTTTATCGATGGACAGATTTCATAGTTCTGAAAGTTTCAATAAAAACGAACACGTCTTTCTCGAGTTGTTAAGTTTCTAAAAAAGATAGCAGTTTACCATTGGAGGATACAGTCATCGACTCTACTAGGAAATTGAATATCTGATGCGACACTCTTTGTTTTGGATTTTTTATTAGAGTCTTGCTCTCACTAAAAATTTTATTAAAGCAGTCAATCAGTAGATCATGGGTTCCCATCGTTTTAAGCTTGTCATAGACTGACTGAGACCTCCTCATAGTCATAGTATGAAATCAAACGGCGTCCAACAATTGAATTATGTTTCCTCTTAAATCAAAACTTAATGTTGTCGTTTTCGGGATCTTTCAATTGATAAATCTGAACAAAATCGATATGTTCACTTGAACAATGGCTGATTCGTACATCAACATTGAATTACAATTGTTGAAAAATAAGTTGATATAGAAGTGTTTAAACATAGGAATATGATACTTTTACATTTCTGATGCTCAAAAAAATTTTTGTACAAGTTTAACCCTCTATAAACTAATTCGTTACAGATCAACAAAATAAAAACAAATTGTAAGGCTAATATTACTTTTTGACTAAAGTCTTTGTTTGATTCATAATTGAAAACTAATTATAAAAAAACTCCTCGAACAAAAATTCATTATTTATATATAAATTTCTCTTTTTGAAAAATTCAATCGAGATAAATTTTAATAATCATACTTACAAAGCACCGACTTGTTTTAGTTTAAGAAATGATGATGGAAAATGATATTGAACAAAACGCCCAGCCGATGGATCAATTTCATCATTGAAGTCATCATCATCTATTGTTTAAAATCAAAACATAATAAAAAAAATATGTTAGAAAAATAAAAAATAAAGACAAAGCATCATACTAGATCCTCGTTCAACTTCAAAAAGAATTTTATTTGTTTTCATATCACGAATTCGAAAGTGAACAAAATCAATTTTATATACATTATCATCTGTTTCAGTTAAATAACCTATTAATAAATCAAAAAAAAATAAATAAATAAATATAAAAATAAATTTCTTTAATCATTAAAATTTTTCTTTTATTCATGTTTTACTATTAGTAGATTTTCTTAATCGAAGAACATCATTAATTGTTATTGGTGTTTCTTTCTTCTTTAATTCTTCTTCTGTAATCGGTGTTTCATTTGAATTGCCATTCGTTGTTGTATTATTAGTGGATGAGTTTTTTGAATTTGATTTTGATGAAACTAAAGTCGATGCCATATGTATCACACTTATTTTCTATACAAACAAAGAACAATCAATCAAACCTATGCATATATATATATATTTATTTAACCTAGAAAAAGGGTTATAAGTTTTATTTGTTTTTTTTTTTTTTTGAAAAGAACTGTACAATATGGTCTGTGCAAAGGAAGTCAATACACCACAACAACAGCAAGAACAACAACAACAACAACAAGAAAAAAACAGGACTTTCTTAACATTGACATACAATCAAAAATCTATCAACTTGATTTTTTTTTTCCTTCTCACCAATAATCTAAGAAAAGAGAAAAACAACGGAAATAAACAATGAAATAAGTTGTGCCTTTTTTCAGAAAGATAAATAAAGAAACAAAAAAAAAAAAAAAAGAAACTAACAGTTAATCGCAGCAACACATTTAATAATAAATATGTGTGCCTACTTACCAATGAAATTACACAACAAAACGGATAAAAATAGAAAAGACAAGAAAAAAAAAAAGAAGACAAATTTTTCTTTTTTTTTTTTTGGTTCAATGGCCAACTAATGATTCCTTTGCTGCCGTTAAAATTCGCACCGGCCTAGAAAAAACAAAAAAAGAAATGGAACTATCAATTGAATTATGATTATTCAGTATTAGAACCAGATTTCAAAAGATTCATCAGAACAATCAAAGGAAAAAAAAGAAATTTTCTAAATAAAAAGAAATTGCGTATGCATGAATAAATAGGACTATTATCTATATTATTTATTTTAATAATAAATAGAAAAAATATATCTACAGATATTTTTAGAATTTTCATAAGAATATTCAATTGACTTTCTCTGAGAAAGTGAACTTTTTCAATGTTAATAAAAATTTCAAAAGTTTATAATTTAAGTATTTTTGTTTATTTTTACATTAGTCAGATTAGCAAGTCTATTCGGCAAATTAGTAGAGGAGTACTGTGTATTCTTAATGAGTAATTATAATTATTTTGCTTGAATATGTGCAAATATGGTTCAAGTTGAAGTTGTAACTCGCTCGGTTAAAAGAAATTTTCTTGATATGCCTTTTTTTTCTGAAAAAATGTGTTGAAAGCATATTTGAATGTTTTTGTGAAAATAATCAGAGAATTTTATTTGCAAAAAATACCTAATATTGCAATCATTTTAACTAACCGGGTAACTTTTTATTAGTATCATGTCAGGAATATGACGGTCTTATTTTACATGTTGCGATTCAAAATAACTCTACTATGATGTTATATGAAATTGTTACCATCTATATATATAATGTTCAGTGTGTGCGTGTGTGTCTTTGCCGGGTCAAAGGTTAAAGGTGAAATAAGGCTATAAGGAGAAGGCCCAAGGGCTGTTATAATGGAGACCCATGGACTCTCAACGGCTATTATATAGGGTATCCATAGGTCCTCAAGAGCTATTATACGGAGGTACTCACAGGTCCTCAACGGCTATTATATGTGACTACCCATAAGTTCTCAGCAGCTATTATATGGGAGTACCTATAAATCTTCAAGGGCTATTATATGGTATATCTGTAGGACATGAAGAGCTATAATATGGGAGTAGCCAAAGGTTCTCAATGGACTAAGATAGTAAGTTGTAAGACAATAAGGGGATAAGGCTACAATAGCTACAAGGGATACAAGGCTATAAGGCTGAATGCTACATGAACTATAAAAATATGTGCGATATAAGAGTATGAGGCCATAGGACTATCAATCTATATACATAATATCGAGTGTCTGTATGTCTGTTCCTGAATGAAAAGTTAAACGTCTTAGATCATACGTTAAAGGAGAAAACAGCCGTGCAGTATGCACGGGGCTCTCACTAGTATTATAATATTTTTTGCTTGTTATTTGAATGAAGTGCAATTACATTGACATTTAAGAAGGAAACTCCTCCAAGTGGTAAATTGTTTGACTATGGGCACTATGCAGACCTGGATGAACTATGAATATCCTGCAGGAAATTCGTGCTTCGAGCATTTTCTGATGAGATACTGAACTCTTACAGTATTCTTGTAATTAATGCTATGGTTCTCCTTTGGAACAATAGACAAACAAATTTCTGAATTTCGATTTAAAACTTTGAATATAGATAGTTTCAGATCTTGTTACTGTCCATATCTTAAGAGAAAACTCTGGTAATAGTGTGCCTTTTACAACACTCATATAAACTGGTAGATTTGATGTTCTTATTTTAGATTAGAAGTGAAATGAAAAGATTTGAACCGCTTAAACGTTGCCCGCGACGCAGGTTAGCCGATCGGCTTACACGTCTTGGCTCGATTCAAAAGCCGAAACATACAAATATTTGATATTGATCGTTAACTTTCTTTATCAAATTCGCAAGAAAATCCATTGAAATCTATTAGTTTAAATGTTGACTTGGAAAGGATTAATATTTTCAATACTACAAATTTGAATACAAAAGTATTTGACTTACTTGGCGACAACATCTATTGATCCATTCGATGGAGTCGATTTAATTCGAGGTACATGTTGTTCTTTCTCAACTACTTCCTCGATATGTTTATTTAACTCAGCCAATTTTGGATCATGTTCATCACGTGGTTTACCTATGTTAATAAATAATACAAAGTTTCTTTAACATTACAAAATCTGTCGTTTGTTTTATTTACCAGAACCAAATATACTTGGATTTCGTGTTGTTGGTTCTGGTGTTTGATTATCATCGGTTGACGACGAAAGTTTTTGTGAACGAGGTAATAGACGTAAACGTGGTCGATTTTCTATATTGTAATTATAAATATCAAATCAAACGGGAAAAAAAAGACGAAACAAAACTTTACCAGATGGTACTGAATTATTATTAATATCATTTGAATTATCACTAGTTTCGTTTTTTATAGGTCCATTATTATCATTATAATTTCGACTATTATTTGATCTATTGGAATTTAATCGTTGTCGTGATCCTGACGATGGTTGATGTCGATTATTATTGTTATTATTATTATTATTATTATTATTATTATTCATACGATATGATAAACCCATATGAATTTGAGAAGGTGGTTGTTGCTGATGATAAAATTGTTGAGGATGATTTATATATTGCATAGGAAATTGTTCATAATAATTACGTCCACCAACCATCTGTGATGTTCCTCCACGATGATGATTTCCATTATTACGATTACGAGTAAATTGATTACCACCCATAGAACGTGATGATGATGATGATGATTGTTGATTTGTACGAGATTTTACAGTTTTATTACGAACAACCTAGAATAATACTTCTTTGTTTATTTTTTTTTATTTTCTTTATTATTGAAAATTTGTTTTTTATACTTGAAAATCATCACTAGTAAATGTATTATTGGCACTTGGTGGTGGTGATGGTTCAATAATAGTTTCATCAATAGGACAATCAGCCCAATTACGACTTTGTTGTCGAACTATGGTTGTACTTTGATCATTATTTGTTTGATCAATAGTATCTTCATTTGATGCTGGTGTATCAGATGCAAGAAAAACATCATCATTAGGTACTTTTTGTTGTTGATTGTAACTATGATGACGTTCACGAGTTTTACCTGAAGTTGATGAACGATAATTTCGTTCATTAAGAGATTCTAAATAAAAAAAAAATTCGAAAGGGATAAATATCTTTATATCAATGATTTTTTTTTATCTTTTACCATTGTTATATCCATCTACATCGTATCCATCAGTAACATTTTGAAAAGTTTCTTGTTGATTATAACTATTATTATCACGACGTCCACCTTGACGAAATCTATTATCGGATCGATTATTGTTATTTCCTAATGGATGACGACGATCATCACGAGATTCAAAACCAGCTAGGTAAAAAATATATATATATTAAAAAATTGTTTCTTAGAAGAATTATTATCTATGCCAGAAGTCCAAGCATTTTGAATATAAGATAATGATATGCGAATATCAGCTATCATTAGACAAAAATCGAAGGTATATTTTCATACGCAAAAATGTTCCTTGAGAAAAATTCAGTAGATCAGTTTTTCATTGAGTCTTTGAAAGAACCATGTTGTATTCCTGAAAAACTGGCATACTAATATCTATTGATTGTTTTCTACAGAGTTAGATTTAATCCTAAAATTTATTTTCGCTCTTGTTCAGAGTTTCGGACAAATTTTTCAGAATATCTATGATTTCACATTGTTTACTCAAGTGCCTTCAGAAAGGCTTCAAAAGATAGTTATCAACCAAACTAAGTTTAACAAACGTTTTAGAAAACATATTTGTTTGGGAGAAATTTCCTGTTCAAACGGATAGATTGTATTCGTTATAACGAGAGAATGTTTTCAACTTAACAATTGTTTCTGAATTCGAACTGTGTGCATAAGGTATATTTTAATAAGATACGAAAATCTTCAAAGGATAAGGTTCCTTCAGACCATCTGCCACGAGTTACAATCATTTTACTAGAACTTTAGTCTCTGTTACAGACATGTTCATTTGTTAGTAAAATGTTCAGAAAATTTCAATCGAAAAGAATGCTCTGTTCCTGACGTGTTTAAGTCCTAGACAACAGAAAATTTTAGCATTTTCGTGAAATGTGAATGATTTTTAGGATTTTTGTATCTTGAGAAGAAAACAATCTTTTGAGCTGAAGTTTTCTGCGAACTCTACTGATAAATAGACCTATCTAAAGGACAAATCTCGAACCGAAACATCATCATTCACTTTGTTGATAAATTCTATAACGAAAGTTACAAGTGTAGTGAAATGCCTATTCATTTGGAGGCTTTTCATACTTTTTTAGATTTAAACTTATGCATGAAGTCCGAATTCAATAGCTATTGGTCACTTGAAAATATTCTTTCCTAAGTAAAGAGCTACTCAGAACGCATGAAATAGATTGTATTTTGATCTTTTGAAACAGTTCGAAAATATTTTGACAGAATTATAAAGTTGTCATAGAACAGAACGAAAGTCATTTTGTTAACCTACTGTAAAGTTTCGTATGACTTTTGTATTTTTTTTCATAACTAACATAGTTATAAGAGATATGAGGAAATATTGTGAAGTGTTCACATCCTTTAGAATTGATATTTTGCTCATAAGTGTTCTTTACCGAGTTGTCAATGGCTCGTACTGCTGAATAGTATACACTTGCCTTCAAAATGAGAATCATGTAGATGAATATTTTATTTTCTAATAGAAATAGTATGAGAAAAACACGTTAGAAGGTCAAGTATAATGTAGATATCGTTAAGTTTATTCTCAAAATGATTTACAGTCTCCTGTCTTTTAAAAATCATCCAACAACATTTATCATATCGTCTACATGCATGGAAAGTACTCGAATATTTAAAAACTCGACAAGAAAGACTCATGAACATAATATCAACTTATTAAATAGCGTAAATCCTTGGTACTGTTGTATCATCGAACCGATCGACAACCTGTCCTTTCATACATTTTGGAAGATGCCTGACCGAATAATACGGAAATTCTAGGTCTTTCGGAAACTTCGAATCAGAGAAAAAAAAAAACTTCAGAGGATACTCAAGACTATATACCGACAAAAAAAATCAACAGATTATTATATGTCAGCCTTAGAGGAATTCATCACGATTTTTAAGGATTCAATGAAAAATTGATCTTCGAATTTTTTTCTGTAACGAGATTTTGCTTATGAAAAAATTCCTGAGAATTTTGGCTAATAATTGCTAAAAATCACATCCGTCTACTTCTGATATCGATAGTAATTATATATTTACGTTTATGTCGAAATCCTTCAGATTTAGTTGCGCCCAATGGTCGAGCAGCAACATCAATTCGAATTGGACGATCATTAATACACTAAAATAAATCTGATTTTATTTTTCAATTTCTAATTTTATTGACATACGGCTCCATCTAATTCAATAGCACGACGTAATGATTCTTCATCTTCAAAATCGACATAAGCAAAACCTTTTAATTCAATAAAAATAATAAATATCTTTATGAATAAAGAACGAAAAAACGATTACCTCGAAATCGATCTGTTTGTCGATCACGTACTAATCGAACTTGTTTAACTTTTAATCCAACAAATAGATGATTTTCAAAATCACCTTGTACCATTGAATCAGGTGCATTACCAATATAAGCTGTAAATGGAGGTTCACTTGGTATTACATGGTTACGTGATGAACCACCATTGCGTCCATTAGCATATCTAAAAGAGAAAATTTTTCTTTAAATAAATGTATCTTTTTTTCTGCTGAACCCTTTACCCCCCGTTGGATCACTTTAGACTCATTCATAGAAATTATTTCAAATAATATAGCATCGGATCTTGATGGTTCTCGAATATTGTGTAAAAAGTGTTGTCTATGAGTGCTTACTTGAAAAACCAATATTGGCCTAGAGATATTAAAACCTCATAAAGCTTTCAGGATATGTTGATGTGAGAGACTCCTTATTCTTTTAAATTCTTAATTTTTAAAGGAAGAAGATTTCAATGTTTCAAGGAATGGCACTCTAATTATAAATGTATTTGTTTATGTAACAGTGATAAAGCTTGCTTGGAAAAATGGGTTCTATCATGTTCTGCATCTTGACATAGTCTTTCAAACAAAAAAAAAAAACATCGTTTACAATGAAGCTCGTTCAAGAATTCTGAGATGTACAATGAGAAAAAAACGGAAATGGCAAATAAAAAATCATGTTCTGTACCAGTGATCAGATTTGGGGCTATCTTCCAATGCATTTATCTCAATTTTTATATTTTTCATGAAAATTGATTTTTTTTTTAAATTTATCTAGTCACACAACCTGATTATTCTAATGTGGGTCCGGTTGATTTATACTACTACTTTGGACATCATTTATTTACATAGTAGCTTTGAAAATTTTTTTAATTATGAACATAAAAGAATCATTTTGGACTCATGCCTTGTGTGTAACATGAAAAGTGGTTTCTCTAGAATTATTCTATTTGTCATATAAAATCATAAATAACATAATCTTCATCGTAAAAACTTTATTAAAACTGATAGCCAATCAAAAATTGTTCAACAGTCATTTTTAAATAACTGTTTTAGATAGAAGCGTGTAGTTTTTCTTATTATCTTTCTTCTAGGCAAGACCTTAACAATAAGAATGGAAGATTTCGAATTGGAAGCAAAATCAATGATTTCGTATGTTATAAAAATAAAATTAAGACTAACGATTCCAACATGATATTGAAAATGAAAGATCTGCTTTCAATTCGAAAATGATCATCTCTGCCATTATCTAACCGTATATCATCTGCCGAAATGACTCACTTTTCAAAAACTAATTCAAGATAAGTAGGTTTCCAGCACTACGAAGATAAATGAATATCGTAAATACAAATATAAAAAAGAATCAAATTAACAATCAATTAACCTCTCAAATCATTCAAGACGAATAGGTCATTGATGATCTCATCAATCATGGCTAAGTAGCTAAATTGTTCGACATGTATCAACAAGGTACTGTGTTGAAGAGCATGGTAACTACGTTGTATTATATACTTGCTCTTGTGGTTAATTAGTGTATATGATGAGTACAAGAACTCTGCATCAGGTCGACCTTTTGTCTAGATCAACAGATAGTATTGATTGTAGAAAAGATATAGAGCTATTGAATCTGTCGCTAGACAACATATCACATCGAAACGTAGGAATATTCTTTCTTGCTTCCATTCACGATTGATTCTGATTTCGATAGTGAAATAAATTTGTTCTCAGTGTCTGAATAAATACCTGTATAAGCTATTCACGTAATTGACTAAGCACCAATTCTACTGGATTAGAATCAGGGGGTAAAAGATTAAATAACCATCCATAATGAAGTTTACATACCCATAATTATTATAATTACCATATTGATTACGTTTTGAATCTCTGCTAGGCATAGTCTATGTAAAGACCCAAACGAAAATTGTTCGGGTCAAAATTAAAAATAAAAACTAATTTGTCTAAAAAAACAAATAAATGAAAAGAAAAAAAAGAAGATGATGATGAAGTCATTTTAAAGTTCTTTTTTGTTTGTTTCATGTTCACGTTTAGAAAAAAAAAAGAAAAAAAGACAAAAACTTAAACAGTCCAACAGAAGAGAACGACGAAAAAACTCTGGATTTACATAGAAAAAAAAAAAGGAAAATCGAATCAATGACAACAAGGTCTTTTATATGTTTATATGAGACAAAGAGTAATGCAAACTTAACGTAAAAAAAAAAGAAGCGACGCAACAGTAATAAACGACAAGATTAACGCTTAGAAAAAGGCTGTGCCCATTATGAGAATAAAGATCAAATCACAGTTACAAGTTAGAGACAGACACACACACATGCACACGTTAGTAATAGTAGCAGCAATAATAAAACACAAAAAAAAAGAAAATGTTCAATAAGTCATTTGTTTTTATTGAAATGGACGTTGTTGACCTTGTTGATTATTATAAACAGTACCACTAGTACGTTGTTGTTGTTTATTAACATTTTGTTGTTGACCAGCAGATTGTGTTTGAACATGTTGAGGTTGAGTAGGTGCTGTATATATATATTGTGCTTCTTTATTTGATGATGACGAACCACGACTATAATAAGCATCATTACCACCAATGCCTGTTGAATTATTTTGATTATATTGTTGTCCTTGTTGTGTCGGAGCTTGTTGATGTTGAGGCATAGCTGAAGCTGCTTGAGCATACATAATTTGAGGACCTTCGAAAACAAAAGAAGAAGAACATCAAAATTTGTATTACTAACCGAAGGATAATTATATATATTTTTAAAAATTGATAACTACTGAGATATTATCGTCGGTCGTTTTTTGAAAGTATTATATCATGTTGTATTGTATTAAAACGAATAAATAGTTCTGAAGTCTGTTAAAATTGGCAAAATTGTGTCGTGTCAATGGGCTCGGATGATGTTGATGGATTTAAACTGTCCGCACTAGCTACAGTGTCCAAATCGATCATAGTTATATGATCAAAATAAATTTTTATTATAGAGGGCGCTGCAAAATTTTTTATTAGTAATATATATATATATTCTGATACTGTTTTCTTCTTAGTTAGTCTGAATTATTTCTAATAAATAATCCGCATTTTGAGTAAATAGTGTGCATTTGTCTATAACTAGGACCCAAAGTCGTAAGCACTATCGTTGGTATACCGACGGTACTACGAACAAATGTACAATATAGGAAAGTATTCTTCAAAACTAGTTTAGAATAAAAATCTTTTGAAATAAGTTTCTGAAATTCTACTCATGTTGCACTATCTACGGTGAACTATTGGTAAATGATCAGTCAGAAAACACAATTATGATTATTCCACAATAAAATAGTAATCAGACAATAGTCGATCGCTCAAATATTAAACTACCGACAGTAGATTGTCGATATACCGTATATCGTATCGAACGGTCTACCAATGGTTTTTTGTATACTTCGAAACATATGAATACTCATGTTACATGTTTGTACGCATTTCCATAAGTATACCGCAGTACCTATAAATATCGAAAGTGAATCATCGGTCGGAGAACAACCACAGGTACATTGCGGTCAAAAGATGGCCGACGAATTAAAGGTCATACTATCACACGTAGTGCACAAATTACATTCTATGGTCTATCGGTAGTCCTTGTTTGATTTGAATCACATGGATAGGCTATTAAAAAATAATTTGTATATCTAAAGAAGATTATTCTTCTAATTAAAATTTGATTTGATATAGAAATAGAGCAGATTAGAGAAACGTTTCGATATTAAAAAAAAATTTAAACGTACCAGCTGAATAATTTGGTCCAGTAGGTGGATGACCATGAAAATAACTTAATGGTGCTGGTGAATGTGTTGCTGTTTGTTGACCTTGTTGTTGACTGTTCGATTGTTGAAGAGCTAATTGTTGATATTTTTGTATTAACATGAGATTTTCTGTTATTGGTGGTGGATAACTATTAAAAAAAGAATGAGTTCGAAGATTTATCTTATTATATTTATTATTTATACTTCATTGTTTTATTATCATTATTATTTGTTTGTTGTTGTTGTTGAACAGGTGGTGTCACAGATCCATATGTACCTGATGGTGATTGTGCTTGTTGTGTATTTGTTAATGGCATAAATGTATTTGGAAATAAATGTTCAGTATCATATGATGCTGGATAATTTGTTCCAGGTGTTTGTTGTTGAACAGCATATGCCGTTGAATAAGCTGCTGGATTTAATGGTGGTACTGTAGGAAACATACCAGGTGGAATAGCTGGTGCTTTTTTTGCTGTTGTTGTCGATGTTGTTGTTGATATCGATGGTGTTTGTGCATTTTTTGATGATGTTTGTTGTGAAAGTTGTGGTGGTGGTTGAGAAAGTAAATAACGTGGTTGAGTTTGTTGTTGTGGCTGATTCATTGTTGGTGCCATAAAATATTGTGAATTAAAATCCATCGAAGGTATTGAAAATGTTGTAGGATCATATGATGTATCTAATGTTACTGGCTAGAATACACACAAAAAAAACATACACATATACAGATATATTTGATTTTTGTTTCTATTTACATCTGGTTGTTGTGACTGATGATAGAATAAAGATTGTAATAGAATATTTGGTGCATTCATTGGATGTTGTTGTTGATGCAAAGTGTATTGTGGTGTAGCAACTTGTTTTATAGGTATAGTTGGTTGTTGTTGAATTTGCGTTGGTAATATCCGTTGTTGATGTGGTTGATTCATTACCGGTTGTTCAGATGAGCGAGGTGACGGTGAAATATGTGAAGACTGTTCAGTTGTTCGTTGTGAAATTTTGTTCGATGATATTGGTTGTGATTGTTGATAGAATGCTGTTGATGATGATGATGTTGTTGGTGTTTCATCAAATGCTTCACCAAGATTACCAAATTGTACATCAATTTTATTAATTCCACCATCAAAATGATCAGAAAAAACTACCGGTTGTTGTGGAATTCGTGGTGGTGGTGTGACTTTTGTATGTAATGATTGACCAGTTGTTTTTGATTTTTGTAATTGGTCTGTTACTGATGATTTAGGTGTTTGACCAATACCAATAACATTTTTAATCTGACGTGCTGCTTCTATTGGATCAAAACCAGACTTAGATTTTTCTTGATTATTTGCTGCTATTCAAATAAACCATATAAAAACTTTTAGAACAAGAAAAGAAAAAAAGCAAAATACCTTCAGTTGATTCATTTGAATCTAATGGTTGTTCATCATCTTTAGTTGTTCGTGAATAAATAAGTGTTTCACCATTCCAATTACCAACATCCCATAGATCTTGTTGTTGTTGATTAGAAGCAACAGCAGCAGCAGCACCACCACCACCTCTACTACGTCGATTTGTATCTGACGGTAATGAAGAATCAATATTTGAATCTTGTACATGTTGATAACTTCTATCAATACCACGATGACCACCTCGATTATTACCACGATGACGACCACGAAATGTATTTGTACCTCGTTGTCTCTGTTGTGGAATATAATTATCATTTTGTTGATTAGTAACATTCTGAGAATCGCCTCCGTTTTGTTGTAACCTTGTTCGACCACCACGAGATTTACCTCGAGAAGTGAAACCATCTAAACAAAACAACAATTAGAATAGTAATGTTCTTTTTTTTTTTTCTTTCGTCTTTGATTACCATTCCCTCGTTGTTGTCCATTCTCATCTAAATCTCCATGTCCATTTTTAGTAGCGGCAACTTTTTGTTGCTGTTTTTTAGTTAATTTATGATTAGTTGCTGTACGCCATTCACGACCTACGTCATGACCTTTTTCAATAAGTAATGCAACAGCTTTTTCACAGTCATAATCACAATCAAATAATGCAACGAGAGCATCTTCTTGATTGCAACCTGCTACAACGTCAAGAACTTTTCGAAGTATTTCTTGTACTTCAGGTTGATCATGTTTTTTATCGTCAATTAATTGAGCAAGACGAATTTGTTCTTGAGTTGGTCGATGCTGCTGCGTGCTTACGGCACCAGTGGCCGCTGCGACGCTCATTCTTCTATATTAAACAGAGGGCAAAAAGACACGAAGATGGAAATATTATTTCTAGAAAAGAGAATAAAGAAAAAATAGAACAATTTCAAAACAGAAAGAAAAAAAATCTGACAATCACTATGATTTTCTTTTTTTTTTCTAATTAGAATAGTTATAACTCCACAGTTTATCATTTCATCGCCATTTATATTTTACCTAGGCTTCCACACTTATCATTACAGTAATGTAAATAAAATGATTTTGATTTCTTAGAATATTTATTTATTTTAAAAGCTTTCTTATAAAAGAAAAGTTCTGATTTGACTTCTAAAAACTTGATTAACTTGAATGCATAATTGCTTTCAATTGATGTAGATGTCGGTAGAATCAATATATTGAATCTATGATACATTTGATGAAAACTACTGTCCATCTTGAAGACAATGTTCACAACTGATTAATGAAATTAATGCATCATATAACAATATGTATTCGTTTAGCAGATGGTCTACTCTATTTCATTTTATGATATAGTAACATTATAGTTGATGTTTCATATAGGCATGCGCGATGTGCGTTTACTGAACACCGATGAACACCGACAGTGACGCTCAGTGCACACTGATAGATTCAGTGCCACTGATCACTGAAATATTGATTACACTGACACTGATGTCACTGGAACACCGATGACCAGTGTATCACGGATCACTGACACACTGATACCACCGACGTCACTGGTACTTCAGGCACACTGACTTCACTGAGACATGGATGGAAAAAATACATATATCTAGTTTATGATCATTCTGTTTTATTTAAAGCACATGTCTTGCAGTATTATGTAACAATTAATTACGAGATGTCAGTGAAGACAGTGTGCCTGAAGTGCCAGTGACGCCGATGGTATCAGTGCATCAGTGATCCGTAATACACTGGTCATCGGTGTTCCAGTGATGTCAGTGTTAGTGTGATCAATATTTCAGCGATCAGTGGCACTGAACCTATCAGTGTGCACTCAGCGTCACTGTCGGTGACAAAAGTGACGGTTTTTTTCGATGTTATCACTGACACCGCCCATTGCTAGTTTCATATTCTGATGTTATTATAACGCACGAAGGGGAAATACTGTTCAATAGTGAAGAACGTCATCTTTAATGTTACTACATATTTATTGTGGAGCACTTACTTAACGAATATCCAATATTGTTCGCGTGTGACAGATGTCATTTTGTTTCATTAACAAATATTCTTTTATCACTTTATCAATAACTTTTTCTTCCTTTGACAGAACACAGTCTAATAACTATGCATTTTCTCAACAATTTATGGCTCAATGAATTAAGCTCATAATGAGTATTCATTTTTTTTGGAAAGTGATAGGGTACCGTAGAAGTGAAGAAGTATGAGTTAAGAGAAAGTTAGAACGTACATTTCTTCTTGCTCAATTTTGTTATTTAAAAATAAGCAAGTAGTGATTCTTTGTGTTCTTTATTACTGGCGTCTTTACTTATTAATCACAGGTTTAATTGTTAAAACACGATCTACTAAAGAACAACAATTCAGTCATCAAAACAAGGCTGAATCTGTGAGAGCTGTGTCTGAAGTGAATAAGTACAGCAATGGCCATTCTCACTCTCAAGAAATTTTCATGTTAAAAAGATGCTAGTATAATCCGTGTGGAATTAAAATATAAAATACAACGTATCTGCTGTTGCTAAACACAAGGAGATTGTTAATGCAGGTCGAACCGAACAAAAACTATAGTTAATTTACTGCCTTTATATCATCAATACCTCATGTATTGTACCGCAGTATACCAACCGTAGTGAACACCAACGTGTAACATGAATATTTTATTCTCTCTATTTTGGGACACGTTTCTTCATCATACTTTTACTTAATTCTCCAGAAATCCAATAAAGAAGCAGTTCTTATGTTAGAACAAGAAGTTGTTCATATAGGTTCTATGACGATTTCTGTCACATGAAGGAGAAGTTCGAATTTCGTCCAGTATACTGAAAAACTGCTTTTAGATCATATTTCACCAAATTCAATGAGAATCTTCTGATTAAATTACAATACATACTTATACTGTACTGAAGTTTTCTTGACTCAACAAACATTGTAGTTTTCTCTTGTCAATGCCGTAATATTCTTTTGTTTTTATATCTTTTAAGCTCACGACTTGCGATTGAACAATGTAGTACAAAACAATGTCTATTCATATAATTCTCGTTTTCGGAAAACTCAATTTCAAATACATAAGTGATTCAATGTACAATTTGTCTCGTGCTAAAAAGGACAGACATTGGATGAGATTTGCTTCACACCTATAATGAAATAACAGCTTCAATGTCATTGATTTGTCTGATATACTTCTAGTTAAGGGAAAAAGAAGCAGTAGTCATATTTGATTCATTTTCTGAGGCTTTCGTTTCTTTGAACAGTAGTCAGTAGTAATAAAAACTTAAAATGTTACAATCAATAAATCTAAGGTATTGAAAGACTTCAGAGATACAGTTAAGAAAAGTTCGCCACATATTCGACACTTGCTCCTTCGCATTTGTTTTACTGCTACATAGTGTTGATTTCCTAGTTGGTTATATCCAGTTCAGAATTCTACTCTTTATTGAATGGTATTACTTTCAATAGAGCTCATCAGGTAAAACGAGAATTTAGGAGTCAAACTTAAGATTATCTACTCGGTTTTCACAGTATGCGTTACTTCGGCTGGCCCTACGATTGATGTTGACTCGGCGAATGGTTGTATAATATGTAGAATTTCATTCTATATCGGATGGTATTAATATTAATCCAGTTTAGAGAGAAAAAAAAATGATTCTAATCGAGATATTCTGGATTTTGATTTGAAACTCAAGTTCGGGTTGTAATATTGTGTCTTTGGAGTTTTGTTAAAATTTGGATGAGTCAAATGTATGTCGTACATTCAAATGAAAATATGCCGTTTTCTCGAACTGCCTGAAATGTAACAGTTGAATAGCCCCATTTGTTACTTGTATGAACAATTTTATGGTAACATAAGTTTTTAGGAGGCGAAGGATGGCTATCAAATTGTACCAGATGAAATTCTGTTATGCTGTCTAAGAACACGTAGTGATCTTGTGCTCGATGTGAAAAAGAAAATACCCAAACTTGATTGTGGGAATGACGAGAGATGTCAGGCAAATTTTCTCATCCAAAACAGATATCGAAATTTAAAATTCAGTGAAAATCAATATTAGAGTCTAAATAAGAAAAGCAGTATTCTTTTTGATCTAACAAATCTTTCCAACTCTGCACATTGTTGAATCCTTAGAGAGACAAAGTGAAAAATTGACGTATGACTTATTTTTGCATTTCTAAAGATTTAAACAAACATCTCAGTAGATCGAGAAAGCTGTAAATAATTCGTGTTTAGTCTAGGAAAGTAACCTTAACAATTCAAGTTTATGTAACTTTCGAGCTCACTCTATTAAATTAAAACAAAAGGAATCCTAAAATGAGCAGCAATGAGCGAATATCAACGACGCAAACAAAGTAGAGCATGAGTAGAAAAACGTCTGTTCGAAAAGCACTATAAATAAAACAATTCATTTCCACTGGCGCTCGATTATACTTGCAAGACAAAAATAGTCTACTATAGACTTTTCACTTAATGTATTTTGTATTATTATTAATGACGCTAAAGAACACATGTGAGTGGTAGATTTTATATCCAAAGAGACTACTTGTGTTTTTTTTGCACCATCTGCAATCCTAATAACGTGGAGAGTTGTATATATTTTCTCTAACATGTCGAGCTTGTCGGATCCAAAATTTTCGAGCCCAATCGAGTTCGTAACCAACCCGATGGGCTCCACTGACATGACTATGAGCTCATGTACCGCTTTAATTCGCTTGTCTATATTGCCAGATCATATTACGCTATACAATAGATTTAGATTCATAGTCAAAATTGGAATTTATTCGATACAAGAAATATATATTGAAGAAACAAAAGAAAAATAAAAGAAAAGCTTTATTCATTAGTGTTAGTTTCTTCGATCGATATTGTATTATTATTAGTTTTTGTATCAAGTACTACATCAGGTTGTTTTTCAATAATTGATAAATTACTTGGACATGATGAAGCTGCATTCATATTTTTTAGATTAGTATTTGATTTTTGTCTAAGTAATGATGATGAAAGAAGAACTGGTTTTGTTGGTGATAAAACTTTTTGAACAAGCATTGTTGCTTGTGCAGCTTCATTTTGTTTTGCTCGACTCATTGCACTTATGACAGCAGCACGATCAAGTTCACGTTGATCAGGCATTTGTCCATCTAACCAAACCTAATTTAAAAAAAATAATAAACAAAAAAAAAATACAAATAGTTTCAATTTGAAAATCTTTAATTAAGAAAAAAAAAGTCTCTTTTACATCTTTTGCACGATTATGAAATACAGCAAAAACACGTATACGATAATCAACAATACGTGTTAATGGATTATTTTTTAAACAAAGATTTTCTAAACATGGTAAACTTCCAAGTAATTCAATATTTTTAATTGAATCTAATTTATTTGATGATAAATTTAATGTTATTAATGAATAAAGACGTGATAAACCATCTGTTCTTATTAATTCATTACATGATAAATCTAATGAACGTATATTACCAACACGTGCATTAAAATCTGATACATCATTTAAACGATTATTTGATAAATTTAAATTTTGTAGAAAATGTAAATGTTGTAAATGATCTATTGTTGTTTCTAATAAATTATAACTTAAATCTAATGTTTCAGTTTTACAAAATAATTTCTACAAAAAACAAAAAAAATAATAAATACATTCTTTTTTTTTTTGTTAAATATTCATTTTGTTTTTAATGATAAACATACAAGTGATTCATCAAGAAGATGTAGAGAATTTTTACTTAAATCAAGATGAGTAACAAGTTTCCATGTACTAATTAACCATTCATTAGACGACGGTGGAATTTCAGTAAGAGAACTTAAAGCAATTTCCTAAAAAAAGAAAAAAAAAAGGTAATAGTTTGTAAATTTTCAATTATTATTATTATTATTATTTTCGTACACGTATTGATGTTAAACTACGATGAATTGATAAATGACGAACAGTTTTTTTAAGATTATCAATACCAGTTATTTGATTTGTTTGAACACAATCAAGCTATATAAAATAAATTGTAATCAAAATGTACTTGAATATGAACATTATATACTTCAAGTTCTTCAACTGATTTAAAAAATGAAACATCAAATGAAAGAAATTGTGTTTTAATTGTACTTGTACCGAAATTATCAGGACTACCAACAATCTTAAACATAATAAGAAATTTATTAGATTTTTTTTGTTTTATATGTATTAATTCATTGCCTAAGTGCTGGCAACATACTTGTACATACTTGACATGACATAGAAAATCGAGAACATGACTTAAATCTTTGACCGGATCATTACTGTCTAAAACATATATTTACATATATATAAATAATTAAAATAGATTTTCAAAAAAAAAAATATCATTTAAAATGAATTTTTGTAACGTTTATAAATTATAAATTGAAAATCATATCAAATCTCGATTATAACGATTCTCATTAATCCTTATTTTAACAGTCTTTAGAACAGAAGTGTATTTATTTTGGCAATTAGATAAAAAGAGAATGAAACAATATTTTATCAATCTATTTACATTCAAAAGCAATGCATAATTCACAAAAAAGAAATGCTTTAACTATTTCTAACTTCAAAAAAAAATCCAAAAGGCTTCAGCGGATCTGCACTCATGTTATCCAAAATAGACATAAACTGCTGGTGTACTGACAATCGATTGGTGCTAATTTGATACTTAAACGGTCGGCTAACTTTTGGCTGTCAGTCTATCGCGATATATCGATAGCTGTTCTCCTACTGGTAATCTACTGGCAATATACGGGCGTTAGAGCGAACAATTGTGTACAATGCGTATTGTATTTTAGACGAAACGCTTCATTTGTTATTTTTCTGATAAAGTGACTGAGAGATATATATGTTTGTGTTTTGTCTTCCCACTTTTCTTGGATATGCATCACTTCATGTTGAGCGAAGTATTTCTTCACATAGAGAAAGAATTTCACAATCGGTTGATCTAACTATACACTGATAAAAGTTTCATGTGAAAGTTACATAGAATTCATTAGAATTATGATTGTGGATCCTTTCCGAATATATCTTCAGAATTCTCGTCTGACTTAGAGATGATAATTATGAGTGAACTTTTTCCAAGAGCGAAAAATGGTGTCGATGCAAAGCAGTATTGTTTTCCTGTTTTGGTCAATTTTTTTAATTTCTTCAGATTATACTTTTGACTAATTTAAATTAGGCATTCTTATAGACTATTAAATTTTCAACAAAATGAATTAATACAATAAACTAGTGCTTAAAAAGCAATCAAAAGTTATATATGTTCTCATAAGAACTTGTTTTCACATATACACACATTAGAAAAACAGAAAATCGATTTTTCTAAATTTGTCTTTCAAAGGGCAGTATATTTTTAATTTGTACGGCAAGATATCAAAGAACACTAGATAAGATGTTCTCTTAGAGCAAACTTTGCTCTACAAAATTTATATTTGAAAAAAAAGCATTTTATGTTTTGATTTGAGTACATTTTAATCGAAATACAAAAAGAAAATTTTCTACAGACATCATTTTGGATCCTTTCAAACATTTACTCATAGCGAACGAATCATAAGTTTGAGAGAAATTCTATTCACAGTTCTAAAGCTAGCAAACTTTTTAAATTTTATGAGATGATTTTGAATGACCAAGAAATAAGAGAAGAGTTTGTTGATGGTTCTTCTTAATTTTCAATAATATCATTTTATTCTAACTCAATATACAAGAGAAAATAGGTTCTTCAAAGGACTTTTCTAATTGAGTCTATTCGTAAGATATTATAGTTCAATGGAAGAGAAAAATATTGTTGAAAATATTCGAAAAACATCTTCTAGATAAGAACAAATGTTTCGTTATGTTTTAATAGACTAGGGCAAAAAGTGACGCATGATCAAGATGTTTCTTTTCTTATCGATTACGATATCAGCCTTCATCTTCTTTCTTAATATCTCATAATAAAACAAAAGTTTCAGATTTATAAGTGGTTATTCGTAAATAAATAAATAAAAAATTCCGGAAATAAACAATTTAGCTTGTCTAATCCTTTTCTTTACTCTCTAAAAATGTTCAATTCATCCGAGACATCAGTAATTGAAAGTTTCCTATTGACAAATATAAGAAAAAGAAATACACGAAAACAAATTCGTTTTCCTTATCAAACAAAAGTTTTGTTTCTTATTCTTATCCTTTTTTAGGTTATCTTTTTCTTTTTTTTTATATACCACAAGGTGGTTCAGCCAATTTGATACGTCGAGTAATTGCATGCATTTGAAGTGGACTTATAGAAAAAATTTTTTTTCCAGATTCTGATAAAATTTGATCACCATTTAAAAATAATTCTTCTGCTAATTTTCGTACAATACCATGAACTTCCTATAAGAGAAAAACAAAAAAGAAAATTTTTAATAGAAAAACAAAACAAAATCAACTGAAATCTTATCTATTTACATAAAGATGAAAATCTAAAAATTTAACAAAACATTCAGGTAATTGCATTGAATTCATAGTAAAAAATTGAAATAAATATTTTAAATAATTATCTAATGCTAAACGTCTTCGATGAATAAAATCCGGTGAATTTTTATTTAATAATTTTTTTGGTGGTAAACTTTTTGCATCAATTGTTGGAATTTGTTTTATTAATTCTTCATGAAATTCAGCAAATTCACTGTAACGTTTTTTTACATACCATTGTACATCATCAAGACGTATTTCAATTGTATATTCCTTAAGAAAAATATCAATAAACAACATACAAACAAAAAAAAAACCACATCTATTCTTACTGTAAATTTTTGGTTTGTATGAAAATTAGTTATTTGTATATCACGTCGAATACCTAATTGTGATGATGTCAGCCATAAAGCCATTTGATTTGTTTTGTTTTTCACAAATCTAAATATTTTTAAATTTTACTTTTATGTATATATGATAATTAATGAAGAATACAACAACAACAAACACTAATATATATATATATTTATATAAATACATACTCACAGAAAAAAAAGAGAAGCAAACAAACAAATAAGAAAAAAAAAAGAATGCAACGATTTAATGTTTTATTTTCTTTTTAAACGACAGTTGTCGTTGGTGAATTATTAGTATTAAGTGAAGATTTTTTTGATGGTGGTTCAATATTATTCTCAACTTGATCAAATGATCGTTTTGTTGTTGTTGTGGTAGTGGTTTCTTGTTGATGAATAGTTACAATTGAAATTGAAGAATTTGGAGAATTTCGTTTAAGATCATTCGAAAGTATTGACGAGGAATTTGTTGAATTTATAACACTAACTGCTGTACATAGTTGTTGTTCTTGTTCTTCGATTAATTTTTCAATCATATCACTAAATGAAATATGTTATTAGTTTTTTTTTATAGTATAGGCTGGCTGTGTAGAAATAGATTTTTATTGAAAGATGCCGTTATCTACTTGAAAATATAATGTGTTCCATTTATTTTTTGAATAATTTTTAATAGAAACATCATAGAAATCTATAGTTTTTACCATGCAAGAGAGAAGATCCGAAACCATTGAAGTATAACGAAGTTTGATTAGTCTTCAATTGATTAATCAGGTGAGTTATTGAGGGAGATTTTCGAAAATGAGATTCTTAAGCTATTTTTCTTTCGACTTAGATTTTTGATAGGATTAATCGATAAGAAACGATCGTCCGATCTACGCAAGGTCGACGTTCCAAATTGATTCTTTTCGAAAGTTGTGAGACTTTGCTTGAGACCGTCGATTTTAGTCAAATAATCTGTGATCACCAGAATAGGCAGATGTAATTCACCATGCTGACTAAAATCATGATGTGTTTTTATGTGCAAAATGATTTGACTCTGTTCTTTCAACATTTCTGAAATTCCACAATCAGTTTCCAGATAACAGAAGAGTCGACATTTCAGAAATGTTGAGAGTATAGAGACAAATCAGTCTGAATTTAAAACAGATATCATTATTCGACTAAGCATGGTGAAGTACTTCTGTCTAGTCGCTTTTTTTTACATGATCACTAGTTACTTGACTAAAATAGGGAGTTTCAGGAAAAACCTTATGACTATCAAAGAAAACAAACTAGGACTGTTGGCCTTGCATAGTTCGAAAGAGAAGAGTTTTTTAATTGATTAGTCTTGTTAAAGATGTAAATCTGAAGCGAAAAAGCTTTAAAATATTATTTTCGAAGATCTCCACCAAGCACTCATCTAATTGGTCAATCGCTAATTCATCAAAGTTCGATATACTTTAATAGTTTCAAGTTATCTCTCTTCAGTTGTGAAAATCGCAGATGTTTATAGTATTTACATTGAAAAATCATTCAAAAACAGTGAAGTACAACATATTTTGAAATAGACAGTAGATGTGAAAATAAAACTAGTTTATAAGAGAATAAAACAAATTCATTTGATATTCAATGGAATGAAAGTTAGTATATTATTGAATGAAGTCATAATGCAAAGACAAAAAGCTTTCAATTCATTAGATTTTTTATGAATATAAAATAGTTTTCATATAACTTGATGAAAGATACAGATAATATTTGATTTGATCTTTTTATACTAGTAACAAAGTCTCGAATAGCAAGTAGTTTGTATTTACTCATATAGTTGGGAGGTCATGTTCATGAACTACTGATATGTTTTGCGATATCGAACAGATTATTTCAAATAAAGATGCGAACCACTGTTTTAATTCTAATTTACTTGATCAAACTACGTATTACATGCTATTACTTCGTTCAAGTGATATACCGTTTTACATATTTAGCGTTAAATTTAGCATAGACGAGTAAGGTTTGGTCAGAAATGAAGAGCTCTGGTCTTCATTCTTTCCAGTTCATGGAGGAACTACCACAACTGTAATCCACCCTTTGAACTCATATAGGACTCACAAAGAGATCTGGATAGAACTAGAAAAAGCTTAATAGAGTTCGTACCCATGGGCTTCTGCAGTCAATTTTTAATTGTTGTATTGAATTTTTGATCTGAACTTTAACTCCTAAATAGATCTTATGACCCTTAGAATATCTTGGAGGTTTCAGTCGAAAAAAATGTTTAGATGTCAATATATTAAATGTCCAACAAATAGTTGCTTGCCATAGACAAATCATAAAAATCGAGTTCATAAGAAAATTCAACATCTCGACAAAGTTAGGTTAATTACGGCTGAAACTTTCAAAATATTTGAAGGCCCATTAGATCTATCTATGGACTGAATTTCAGATCGAAATTTAATAAAATGATTCTTAACTCGGCTGCAGGCTCCCATGGACACAAATCTTTTTAGGGTTTTTTTAGTCTTACCGTCACTTCCTTGTGAGCTCAATATGAGTTACAGTTCCAGTAGTTCCATCGTCAGTTCGGTCAACAATTAAAGATGGCTGATCTATTGAAAAAATCTGTTGTTTTATCACTCATTCACACACTAGCTTTTGTCTACTGAATGCCGACCAAGTTCTATTTCGGAGAATAAACGTGTTTAAACACTTTGATTGGAAGTTCAGTTGAAGTGTTTTCACTTCCATTCAGAAAATAGCAGCAATAACTACTTTCCTCATAAAATATGCATGAAGATGCTTAAAAAGGGAATATTTGCAGCTGGAAAATGTAAAAAAAAAAGTTTTTCCACAATATTTTACAGATAAAAATGCCTTTTTTTAAAATACATGTTATATGCCAAAAATATTGTTAGAAACTTTTCAAATGCAAAAGCTATCTTTTTTAAACATCAATTCGCATGTTTTTTGATAAAAATAACTGACTTATGTATTTTCTGAGTGGACATGGAAATGCTCTAACAAGAACCGCCCTTAAGGCGTATTATCTGCTTGAGTATTTCACATTCTCTTGCTTCAGCGTCGAAACAGTTCATCTCTAGTTTGTTTCATAACTAGATTGATGCAGTGTACATCAGTATTTCAATAATTATGAATTCAATGAAACTTTGAGAACTAAATTCAAAAAAATAGCTGGTCTAAACTTTTATCCTTCGTTATACATCTATTCTGAATAAGTTACTAATAAATCTTTGATAAATTATATAAAAGATTTATATACATAGTCAATAGAAATAACAACATACGTGACAGAAATGATTGCATTAAGACGCTGCTGTTCTTCCATATATAATTGATATCGTTCACTTTTTTTCCATTGATAATAATAATGAATTATTTCACGAACACTTCGATTTGGACACTAGAAATATCAAGAATGATATAATAATATTTGTTAGCATCATTGAAAAAACAAACAAACATGAGTATTACTTTATATAGAGATATTTTGAAAAAATTCTTTCCATATTCACGTAAACCTTCTTCAAGATGTTGAATTTCATCGAGTGACCATTCAGAATATGTATCTAAGATATATTATTTCAAATGATAATAAACTAAAGGATTAAATTCTTACAAATTGTTTTCATTGGTAATTGACGAAATTTAATAAGAGCTAATTCTGTATTCATTTGACAATTGAATAGAGTTTGAAGTGATATTTCATCATCAGCGAATGGATCTTTAGGAAAAATAAATAAATAAAATATATAATAAAAAAAAAGAAAAATAATTAATTAACTAACATTCATTACGAATTGTTTTGAGATATTCATCTATTTTTTCATTATCATCATTATTCACAGAAGATGGAGACCAAAGCAATTCATCAACAGGTACTAAACAAAGAAATAAAAATATTTCTAAATAGATGAAACAAATTAAAGAAAAAGATTCTTAATCAAACAAACAATATTTTGATGAAATTTTAATTCATAATCCTAATTAAGATATTCTGAACTCATTCTGAAAACAAAATAGAAACGCAATGATAGGGAGAATATATCCTATGTAAAATAAGCCAGGTTCAAGAAAACAGCATCTTTACACCGTTATTTTTCGTAAGCTCGTGAAACGAGCTGAAGGACTACTGTAAAAACTAATGCAGTAATACGTCATTTTCGACGGTCAGAATGATCGCTCTCAGAAGTGAAAACTTATTAGAATGTACTCATAATTATTTACATCGGCTTGCAATTCCATATAATTTCTTGTGCTTCCCAATGCACTAATAACTTAGTGTCTATTGAGAATTGAAGAGAAACAACCTATGTTTTTCAAACCGGACAAAAATCCTCGATAGATCATTCAATATAATATGCAATGAACTGACAGTAGTTTCCTCGCTAAACTGTCAATTACATTCTGACCGCTCTTATACAGGTGGTAATACGAACAAATAGTGTTAAAATAGACATGCATCAACTCCAGTCTGACGGGCTATTCGCCTATCAGTTTGACTAATTAGTAGTACTTGTCCAATCGGAAACTATTCCCACTGAGTGACAGTTCGAATAGGACTGATGCATACTTATTCTAATATGTATTATAAAAACGGATAGTTATAAACAACTGCATGCTTAGTATTGTCAAAATTTCTTCTTTACGTTTTGCTTGATTGAAATACGTGTTTTTTATGAAAAGATAGTACTTAAAATTGATTACAAAACCACAAATAATACAATCCAAAAAAATATTCTCGACATATTTAAAACAAAGATGCAGAGGATCAATAGTCTTGATTCTATCAATTTTGTTACATCATTCCGATCGTTCACGCATAGTTCAAATGAACGTGAATATTTCAATGGTAAATAGTGTCTAGTTTTCAAGTATCAGATATTCACAAGAAAAACTGCCTGTTGAAACAAAGTACACGCATAAAGATCTCGAATGTTTTCCATAAAAGCACATCAGAGACTTCCTCATGACTGATTTGTACAAAAAAAAGAATAGACTAATTTTGGAAGATGGATATTAGCAAAATATTTTCGTTAAGATGCACACTAAACAGCAAAAGTAACAATGATCGACGAAATTAAAATTTCTATCAGAAAAGTATCTTTCAATTAAGAGAAAAACAGAGGAGAAAATGATTTTTGAATACAATTAATTATCAGCGATTCGTTATACCTTCTCTATCATCATATTGTCCATTTGTTGAATTAAATTCCGCTTGTGATTCAACTTGTGCTTGATATTCATCACCAACACGGATGAACTAAATAAATTATTGATAAATTTTAATTATTATATCTTGTTATAAAATTCAAACCTTAATAATTTCAATCTCGAATGAATCATCTGTATCATCATCATCATCATCTTCAGGTAATAATTGACCATTAATTTGTAGTAAATGATGAAACTTATGTCGACTATGTTTTTCATTATTATCTTCAGAAGAACTATTCGACTGAAATATAAACGTTAAATAAAAACAAAAACAAAATATTCTCAAGGATAATCTCACTTCATTATCATCTTCTTCTTGTGCTCTACTATGAATAAGTGATGAATTTTTACCATATAATTTAAGTAATTCATCCAATGGCATATTTGCATCCTAAATAAAAAAAAACAATAACATAGAATAATTTTAAAAAATTAAATAGAAAAAGATTTTTACAGCTTGTAAATTATCTAATTCATTTTGTTCATCATCACTACCTAACTGTTCTTCTTCTTCAATAGTTCTTTCATCATCATCTTCTTCATCTTCATGTCGAACTTGATATTCATCATCATCTAAAAAAGATTTTGTTCTTATTTTAATTGAAGAAAATTTCAAACTATAGTTTAATTAACCTGTTGTTGATAGATCTGTTGGATTTGAAGCCATTTTGAAAGATTTAAATGTACGAAATAAGATAAGTCAATGTCCAGTTCTTTCATTGAATCGATTGGATAAAAAATTTTGATTAGTTATATTCAATCTATAGATGCCAGTAGTTTGCAAACAAATGACATATGTATTCACAATAGTAATGCTTTTTGCATTCATATATCAATCAACAAAAGATTTAACTGATTATTGTTTGTTCTATGACAATCTTTTTACAAAAATTAATTCTAGCTATGTCTTGTATTGAATTATTTTAAACTTTTTTTTTTAAATTATTTATGAAAGGCGAATCATATACAATGTTATAAGAAAAAAAAATTAAGTATTTCTGTTCGGCTGGAACGTGTATTAGAGTAATTTTTTAGACAATGATAGAGAAATAGTTAAAGCTTTTTTTTTCATAAGAAAATCGTTAATAAAACACTGCTTTCAATTCTTGACATTCACTTTGATAAATATTTTGATCTTTCACAGATTAGGTTAGTAACGTAGAAAGTCAAGGTAACCTTTACTCGACAAGTCAAAGTGATGGATTTAGACAATAGAGGTAGAATAAGTCAATGGAAATGCTCAAATTAATGTTCATTAGCCTCAATGCATTGCTAGTCTTTTGGGGTATGGGTGTAAAAGTATATAAGACCAGCACCTCAAACTGTGCATGCCATGTTATTGGAATCGAAGAAAAGCTAATCCAAAGTCACGGAACCAACGAGATGATCGAATAGAGTTTAGCGGTTTCAAAAAAAAACTAGAATCAAGAAGCGAACTGAAATTGTTAAATCATCAGAAAAATACAACAGTTTCTAGATCTTTGCCGAAAAATCTTCATTTTTTCAATCTTGAGATCAGAGGTTTCAATGTATATGTATCATATTGTTTTGTTTCAGTACTAAAATACGTAGAGATCTTATTACTGATCAAAGAAACAATCTATGCTCAAATAATTTACTTCCACTCTGTATTAGACTATTGGTAAACTATCTTATTATGCCCTATGCCGACATTTTCTTGCTTGCCAACAATATAAAGAAAAAAAATCACAATAAAACTAATGTCTGTTTGACGTTGTCTAGTGAAGCACACTTTTTCCATGATTTGTTTCCTCGATTGAGTTTGTTGCTTTATTTGTTAATACACAATATTCAAAATCGAGTCTATATGGCGATCATACATATTGTGTGACATGATTAACGTACGACTCTAACAAAGCTTCAACTAATAAAGTCAAAGTTCGTTCTTTCTGATGATAAATCTCAACAGCAAAAGCAAAATCAAATGCTTGAATTTGACTTTCATTGCGTAGCTCTAATTTTTTGGTCAAGCTATGTATATTTTTAAAAGTACTTAGGCATAATTTCTCTTTTTTTTTCAGTGTTTTCTTTTAAGTTGATTTATTTTCTATAACATGGGTTTGAATGACGGAGCATATGATCTCGCAATATTATGTGACGAAGTTTTCACATATTGTAGAAATAAATTTTTTCAATTGATTCATACTTTAGTTGGAAATAGTACTTGTTGAAATAAGAAAAGTCCAATCAATCCATTTCACATAGTCATTTATAAACACATCTTTCAAATTATTAAACCGGGATGGAAAACAGTTTGAAACATCTTACTACTCTTCTTAAATGAAAACAAAAATATATTGAGCAACAAGCAAGAACAGTTGATGACACCATATTAGTAATATTACATTATATAACTTGATAAATCACAGTTCATTGTTGAAATCATTATTATCTTGGTATAATTAGCAGCAAGAAGAAAATAATATTTTTGATGGCACATTTCTATGCTTCTTCTTCGATAATATAACAAATAGTTTATCAAAATCAAAGAACGAATATTTATACAATCATTCAGTCAAATATTTTGCTACTTATTTAGAAGTCATCCACAGAGAACATCTAAGTAAACGAAGAAGAGGAACAATACATCAAAACTGCACAAATTTTGACAGAAAGAAGAAGAGAAGGTCAAACATTTCTGGATCTTTAATACAATAAACGTCAAACAGCACCATATGATAACATATTCTCTTCGATAGAGCACTAACGCCTATAAACTCATATAATAAATAATTCTCAGCATTTTGATCGGATTGAAACATTGAGTCCATTTTGTAACCTATTATTTTGAACTAAAGCAGAGACACTATTGTGGTCTTGCCACAAAAAACACGATTGAGAATTTGGTAACACCGTTTCCTGCGAAGAAAACGGTATTTCAAGCAAATGATAAACATTTATAAAGCTTGATCGTAGGTAATTGGGGTCAAGAAATCCAAGCCTATTATCAGTTTCTCAGAATTATTCATCTTGATTTCTGCTTATAAAAACTCATCGCTCTCAAGGAATACCTGCCTTTACTTCATCCCTCCCCCCCTGTTGAGAAAATAAGATAATAACTATTTAAGAGAGACCATGAGAGGTCTAGGGAACCAAGACACTGCTGAAAATTAAAAGTTTCGACATTTTTAAAATCTCCTCAAAAAACCATCATTTAAAACTACAAAACTCAAAATTTTAGCTAATCAGCCTGTTCAATAGTAAAGATAGATAGTACAGATCGACTTTTTGCATCATCGTCAAAGGACAAACAGAGGACTTCAAATATAATAAAGAACGCTAAAACTACGTCAAAAGTACTTAGAAATGCAGCAAAATACTTTAAATATTTCAAAAAAGCTTTTGATTCTCTACAAAGTGTTACAAAGTATTGAAAAAAAGTTCAATGTCGGAGTAAAGTAGAATTCACATGTATCTCCGATAGAATGATATTCATTGCTTCCTCAATAGAAAAAAACACCAATTCTTAGCAGTTTTCATCACCACTACAGGATTGCAAAGCAAAATAGGTCCGAACTTCGAAATTAGCATCGAAAATGATCGTGAGTCAATTATATTTTAGAAACATCTTTTTCATGTAGAAAATTAATCCCTGGGACAACTGGACAAAACTTCAATAAAGTACGGTCATGGAGAGCATGAGTAATTTTCTCATGGATAAACTACTGCTCTAAAATTTAATTGATTCATGGTAAATTTCGAAGTTCAGACTTTTTTTCGTTTTGCAATCCTTTAGTGGTAATGAAAACTGCTAAGAATTATTGTTTATGCTCCATTGAGAAATCATCAGCTATCACTCTATTGGAGATAGGTGTGAACCTTGTTTTACCTCGAAATTGATTTTTTTCAATAGGTTTTATCGATTTTGTACAGAACCAAAAGTTACATAGCATGCATCAGATGCAGTATGTCAATTGGTGATTTCAAACAATGGTGGATAGATATAATATCAAAAATTTATCGTTATGAATAACTACATGATGATCTACTTGATACATATCGAACTATATAAGCCCAATAAATGGATCATAAACACTATTTAAAATAGCGGATTTTATTCAGCTTTTCAAACTCTGTCTTTTGCAATATCGCATAAAAAAATTCTTTTACTTGTTGAAGTATAATGCAAGTCGGTATTTATGAGTCAATTTATCACTGTTTTCTGGATGATAGGAACGTAGTGCTAAAAAGTCGATCTGAACTACTTTGGGTTTTCAAAAAGTTCTAAGAACTAGTAACATCACTTTAATAAGAAGTAAATCATATTTATTTGTCTACATTATATGTTAGAAGACATCACAATAATGTTCGATAGCAAGCTCCATTTACTTTTGAATCATCTTTTTGTATTCATCGATAGGTAGCAAATCGATGGCTCAATCATTGTTTAGTTATACTCATCGATTAAGCACTGGAAAGTTGGTGGATTTTATGAAACGGACACTACGATGATGTGATTTAATGACGATTGTTCAAAGACAGATTTTATATCGTGGTATTAGATAAAGGCAAGAGAGAAATTCTAGTTTGTAAAAGGAGAAAGTATTTTACTGGTCGTAAGAATATGAAAACATGTAAATAAACAATTTTTGTCATTTTCTTTATGATAACATGAGTATTACTTCTTCGTCAGGTACATCCTATATAGTTTGTCGATGCTCTCCAATGAGCGCAACAATCTCCAAAAAGCATTAGTTAAGAAGCTTTTAACAAACACTATCATTCAAGCATCGGTAGTATGAAATCCATCATGGTAATGAAAACTGTATATAAAAAAGTATTATTATTAAACTTCTTAAAGAGAGAATTGAAAGATATAGGCTATCAGATACATTCAACTGGCCTCGCTTCGTCTGAGCTTCTGTTATTCGACTATTTTAAAATATTTTGATTAAATATCTCCCTAGATTCAATAAATATAACGAAGCAATAGTCAAGCAATCAGTTTGACATTAATCAATGCCTACAAAATGATTATTCAAAAGTAAAACGCACTTACTATTGAATACGGCTATGTCTTTTGATACTTGCTGTAGCCAAATAGACATAATGTGCTTCTTACTGAATAAATATTACTAGTTCTAAGAATTTTTTGAATTCCCTATGTAACTGTAGTATGGAACATGCAAATGAACTACAAACTAGGCTTCGTAGTTATAGATGACGATTTTTTGAATGCATATAAAAATCAAAACTCAAAATTTTGACAAATACTGCGGATCTATGTTCGTTTCATGAATTTTCTTAGAAAGCCCATAAAAGATTTGGATTCCTTGACCCTGCTTATTTTTGATCAAACTTTATTAAAAATTGATTATTTCTCTGAAACACCCTTCCCGTATCGAGATATTGGGAGAACAAATTTTTAAGGTTTCCGTTAGTTGGCAACGGTTCTAATGTTTATTTCAAAAGAAAAGGCGGGTGGTTGTTTTTCGAATAGCTCTTCAACGGAAATAGCTATCACTCTGCGGTTTTCCCATTAGAAAGAGGCTGATATTCTGCATTTTTGTATATACTAATTAACAAAATTAGCTCATAAATCTGATGAGCAGTCAGTGACATTCAAAGAAGCAATTAAAGTGCTTTGAAAAATGGATAGAATTTCAATTATAAGAAGTGCATTAGATTCACCTACTCAAGATCTATAACTCTACATAAACCCGAAATTTTTATTTTCTATCAATGGAAAAATATACATTCAACACTGATCGTCAATAATATTTGAAACAAGTTTTCTTGAAATCTTTTCAAGGTCGAATAGTTCAATGTCTATTAATAAATAGTTAGATTTTCGACTATTTTGAATAGAATGAAAATGATCATATTGTAGCGAACTCATTCTTAATTAAGTAAAAGCAGTGCTAATAAGGGTGTGAATGTGGGCGTGGGTGTAGAGTATGAGTGTAGGTTAAAATAAGAAAACCCCAAACCCACACTCCACACCCGATATGTTGTTAATCTTATATCTCCTTTTAATCTGGAAACGAGTATTTAAAGCTTGCCCGTCAAACATTGTTTGCTCAATCCAGTACAGTTGGTATTGGCAGGCGTGAAAAAGCATGTCCGAGATAACAATATCAATTTTCGTCTCAGCGACGTTCGGCAATTATCACAAAAATGGATGTCAGACTTAAAAGCAGATACAGTTACAGCTTACCTCAATCATGTATACAATATTGAGGAAAAGTTCAAGAAATCCGATGCTTTCACGGAACAACTCGAAGACAGATTATTAGATGATGATCAGGAACTGAATTCCAAGGCCGAGTAAATAACTGATTGATAAACAAAATCTATTTCTCTTTATTTGCTTCATATTACCAACTATTGACTTAAAAAAATAACTGCATGTCTAATCAAACATACTAAAAGTATATTCAACATGTGAAAGCATGTTGTGTCATTATGGTTCGCAACTAGGATACTTCATTTTTGGTGTAATGTAATTAGCACTGCTTTTACATAACAAAGGATGGGTTCGCCACAATATGATCATTTTCATTCTATTCAAAATAGTCGAAAACCTAACTATTTATTAATAGACATTGAATTATTCAACCTTGAAAAGATTTCAACAAAAACTTGTTTCAAACATTATTGACGATCAGTGTTGAATGTATATTTTTTCATTGATAGAAAATAAAAGTTTCGGGTTTATGTAGAGTTATAGATCTTGAGTAGATGAATCTAATGCACTTCTTATAATTGAAATTCTATCCATTTTTCAAAGCACTTTAATTGCTTCTTTGAATGTCACTGACCGCTCATCAGATTTATGAGCTAATTTTGTTAATTAGTATATACAAAAATGCAGAATATCAGCCTCTTTCTAATGGGAAAACCGCAGAGTGATAGCTATTTCCGTTGAAGAGTTATTCGAAAAACAACCACTCGCCTTTTCTTTTGAAATGGACATTAATAGGAGGGTAACGTAATATCTATTGGTTTCTCTCGAGGCGTGTCGAGAGAAACTCACGTATGCTTTAGTCACTTCACTGCTTTCAATCTGTAAAGTGTCCAATGATAATCCTGTATACATTTCTTACTGTATTAATTTATAGGTAGCTTTTGATAAGATACAGAACAGAAGCTCTGATCAACAGAGTGAAGTTCAACCATAATATTTTTTTATTCGAAAACAAATATTCAGGATACAATTAGCATGAAAACACTGCCTTCACCTACTTTTATCACTAAGAACGGATTTCTTCTTTCCAAAAAGATTTTGGGAGTAGTGATATAGACATAATTTTCTTACTATCGCAGCCAAATGACCATTTCAAATTGGACTTGAGCGAGCTTTTCAAAAATTGTTTGATGATCAGCCGTCACAATCTATCACCATTTCCTATATTTTCAGCTTCAAGCGTAACAGATCTCATTGAAAGGTGACTTTGCGATTAATAAGTTCATTAAAGAACACGAATGATATTTTTCATTCCCGATGGTATGTGATCCGGTTTTGAAAACGGTTTCGAAGAAAATGAAGCCACACAAACTCTAGGATAAATTTTCAAGATCCTATGCTAGACCACTTTTGAAAGAAAGTTTGACATAGGATGTTGCATTTACCTTCAATATATAACTTGAGCGAACCGAAAACAAAAAAAAACTATTTTCTATAAGAATAAAGATAGATAAATCGGTACATACCTTCGAGTCTATGCATGTTACTTTCCCTGCGATACATTCGTAAAAATTGTTGCGTCTCTTAGCACATCCGCTGTTTTTAAAAATCAAACTATAGAAATGCCATTTCAAAACTTATTTTCTTTTGTAACGTACTGAATTAAAAAACACAGCAAACTTAAATAGGTAATACAAAGTCCGAAAATAAATAGATTCATACCCCCAAACATATATCTGAAAGGGTAAACATGAATTTGATCGAAAGTCAAAATATCGAACAATAAAAATATTGACAAATAAAAATGTCGAAAAATGTATTAAACTAGCAAAAGAAAAGATATTGTATAGTCCATTTCAGAGTTAAATGGCCGTGACCATTTTTTTGAATAACTTTCGACCCGTAAAGGCTATCAAGCTCGGCGTTTCTTCATTGGAAAGAGGAAGCTCCGAAGCGTTCTTTTATACGATTGTGTCAAGACCAAAGACACTTTTTTCAAACCGATCATACATTGATACCTTGTTGTTGCGTTTTTTCAATGAATTTTCTCGATATTTTAACTTCAAACTACACCAACTTGTATCCCAAATCCCGCTATATGCACGATAACATTATCATACAGCAAAGTGATCTTATTGGAAAAAAGAGATAGAAAAGACGACACGAAGATATCAAATTTTTGCTACGTATACACCGGGATTTGGGCTACAAGTTGGTGTAACTTGGAGTTAAAATATCTAGAAAATTCATTGGAAAAACGTAACAAAAAGGTATCGATGTATGATCGGTTGGAAAAAGTGCCTTTGGTCTTGACACAATCGTATAAAAAGACGCTTCGAAGCTGTCTCCTTTCAATGACGAAACTCCGAGCTCGATAGCCTTTACGGATCGAAAGTTATTCAAAAAATGGCCATAGCCATTTAACTCTGAAATGGGCTATAATAAGAGGTCATGTTGATATATATGCATAGATAACACACAAAAACAGATAGAATATAAAATAGATAGTGAATATATATAATAGTGAACAAGAAACTAGAAAAAAATGTAATAAAAATGAAAATATGTATGTTGCCTTTTAGTGATTCATTTCGATCTGGCAACATATTTCTTGATAAGTCATCCGAGAAAATAATCAATGGTACCAAAAGCGTTATTCGATTGAGTTCAGGCTTGAAATGCTTGCATCAACAAAGATTCTTTGATAAGTAGACGACAGGAGTGATTGTCTTGCCAAACAACACGAAACTTTAACCAGTTGATATTATTTCCAATGTCTGTTATCAGGTTCTGAGAGAAGAGAAGGCAATATTATTTTTTGTTTTTTCCTAATTGTTGACAGCGTTGATACTATTCTTGAAAATGATGACTTAGTTTGTTGAAACGTCCAATCAATCATTAATAAATTCAATATTCATATATGTTATTTTAAAGGCATTGTCATAATTTCTTTTATTCTTAAAGTATTGCCATCAACGATTTTCAATGAAAATGAAAATATTTTATCTCGTCGTAAATAATTATGAACAATTGGATACTTACTGTTCTGATCTCTCTGCATTGATATACAATATCGTTGAATACCGATAATATTGAAAAATTAGAAAAGAATGTAAATTTTTTTTTTTGTCTATCCTAATTTTTATTTATCGTTCTAGAACAATAAGTGTAATCGATAACATCAATAATATGAAGAACACCTTACAATATATATTCAACATATTTAGGATAGTTCTAATAAAAAGAATATAATACAAGACAATATCTTTTTTTTTCAAAGAAGTGTAGCTAAAAGAACAATTAAAACGATTATAAGTATAACAAAAAGAATTATAAGTATAATACAACACCAACATGGACATCGACAACCATCGTATGCTCGACAACAAACAATTTCATCATCATTCGTAGGATTGTTGGTCTTAATATAAGAAAAAACAGTTTCTATTTGATGAATTTAAATAGAAAACAAAAGTTGAATACTTACCCAAGCTTCTCGAACAATATCATCATCTGCCATACGTCGAGGTCTTGTTGTTGTTACTATCTGTCGTTCTGTTTGATTAACAGGAACAACAGCTCGTTCATTTACATGTGAATTATAATAAGGACGTCGTTCATCTAATTCAATACTGTGAATCGTAACAGTTGATGATGCCGATTCGACTCTTGGTAAAAGAGTATTCCAAAAATCTGTCCGATGTTTTTTATGATGATGATGATGATGATGATGATGTCGTTTATGATGTTTATGATGTCGATCATGCCGTTGTGCTCGACATACTGGACAATTTGGATCAGTACAGGGTTCAACTTGGTCATAAGTTGTATAAGGTACTGTTGATTGTTCAAGAGTCGATACAGACATTGGATTAATACGGTTTCTTGTAGTAACAGGCACTAAAGCCATTGTAGTTATTTAAAAAAAAATAAGAAAAGAAATCGAATACAATATGACACATTTATTTTATAGAGAAAATGAAGACCTCCTGGAGAGCTTGTTACTTTTTTCAATCCTTTATAATGAAGAATACAGATGTTATGGTAGAGGTTTTGTTTATTTGACTTATAACATCAAATCACTACAACAATTCGTCATTGTTATGTCAAATCAATCGACTAAATTGTCGTGTTTTTTTTTCTTTAATACACCTACGCATCATTTATTTATAGTTTTAAAAATTTCTCATAGTAGATTTTTACTTAAAAAATATATAATGTAATAGGATCACAATGAACAATGAAATGCAAAGTTTATGCATATTTTGAAGACAAATACATTACAACAAGACACTAATCAGCCGTCTTGATAGTTTGAAAAATGATTAAAAACGAAATTGAGTTTTTTTTAATTGAAAAATCGAGTTGAAAATTATTTGCAATCCCGTTTGAGATTAAGATGACATGATTGAATATGTATATGAGCTTGTTGCCCGTTTTACCTATGATGACTTTTTTCAACATCACTGACAATTATGCAAATAACACACGAGAGAAACTGTTGATTTTAATCAATTATCTAATAAACAAACATAAGATGTTCTCAATTGATATTATACGAAACAAATGAATTTGCTCAGCACAAACTGCATAGTATCCGAAATCTTCCACTGATGTCTAAAAAAAGAAGGGTTGGCAATGGATGCTATCGGTTTTTCACAAGTTGAGACAAATTAAATGTTTATACTAAGATAAAAAAAAGCGACTAGATAAAAACAGCCGATGTCATTTTTCATTATGAAGTTTTATTTTTGATCTACTTATGTTGTACGTTTGTTCGTACCCGTTGATATACTATTAAAAGATTGCTCAACAACGGCTATTGGTTTATTCTGATAGAATAGTGGTTAGAGAATAGTGGATCCTTCAAGTGTCAAACTACCAACTATCCACATTATAACGCACACTATACCGAACGATTTATTGAAAGCTTTTGCACAGTTTGAATCACATGGATGCTCAGATGCATATGACTTTAAAGTAAAAATGAATTTATATTTACGTAGAAATTAATGCATGTAGTTGCATTGACTTTTATCAATGCTCATCGATAAGTTTCAATGAAGAAAAGAAGCATATTTTGTCTTTCTTGATCATAATTATGACGTAACCATGTTTTTGTGGAACACTATCTACAAGGAATGTTGAATTATGTAGAATAGAAATGTGCACCGTCCCCTCCCCTTATATACGATCACAGACTGTATGTCAATAACATCTCGCTCTCATGTATCAATCACTTCTTCGTTGCATTTCAGGAGGATTAAAAAAAAGGACGCTGAAGAACTGTATTACATCATGTTTCATATTTTAATCCCACAGATTTTGCGCTAATAGTTTGTATACTTTATTATTAAAGAAAGATGCATTAGAATTGCCAACATATTCATCAAAATGTCTTTATTATTCTTGCTACAGTTTCTTTCTAAGATTGTCGATTTCTTTCGATTATTAGGACCTTCCTTCATCAGAATAGATTACTCGCTCAATACCACCTACTTAGACTGATATTTTCAGAGATGAATATTCGGAGTATGAAATTCCTTTTAGTTAACATTCCAGTCCGACTTATCATGGAATGAAAACTTCGGCTTATCAAGAAACCATGGCCCTTATTTTAATCTCGAGTCTATACTAGAACGTTTGCCAAAAATGAATGAAAGTAAATTTCCAAATTCTGATCGAACAAAAGCTACACACTTGTATTGGTTTTAATTTAGAGCATTCTCAATCTCTGTATAACTTTTAGTGAAAAAACTTGCGAACTTATTGGTGTTCCTACTGGAAGACATTTTCTTAAGAGTTCATAGCGGCACTGTGTGAAAATTGAAAATTCCAGTCTAGTTCGATGTATTTAAATGGCATTTGTACCATATAGGTAACTCATGGAAATCACACTTCTCTGACAATTTGCCATGAAACGGACTTCACAAAGAAGAACAAATCATTGCGCTTGGTAGGTATATCATTGGTATCGATAGTGCCAGCTGTTTCACAAAAGTATTTCAATGATTCGCCGGATATAAATAAAAAAGCTTGTTAAGTGTCTAGACTAAATGTAAAAGCTATGGCTACTGTATTGAATAACGACTCACATGCATAGAATAGCATGTCCAATGCTGATGCCAGAAAAAAAGTGGAATCCTTTCAAAATAGAAAGATTTCAAAAATTATTGGAGTTCTTTCATAGATATACATCCGTCTTAATCTGTCTAGACATCAGACCAGCTAGATACGATTGTCATTGAATATCAGTCTGGCAGTTTATTTGCCGAACAAGCCATTAGCCCCTCTGGTTACTAGTTCAACTAAGGCTCGCGCATACCTACTCTTTATAACATCAAGTTATTTGGCAATGAATCGCATGCAATAAGTTTATGAATATAAAATGATTATCCAGAAAACTTTTATACATTTTCAAAAACTTTAATTTTTCTAAATGGGAAAATCGCTAAGATTGTGTAATAGTATTAGTGTTAGAAAGAGTACTGCTTTATGCTTCTAGGATCGCTTTTTTTTGTAGTATAATTTTGTCTCGTGTATGATGAACTTGATGGTCGTGTTCAATTTCACTTGGTTCTACATCCTGTAGAAAGAAAAATATACTAATCTACAAGGAAAATAGTATATTTGTATGTTCATAAACGAAAAAAAAGACAAATTGAATAGAGTCATCATTGACGACGAGTTATAAGAAGCGTATCATTTCGTTGTTCTTAATTGGTAAATGTTTGTATGACAGTAGTTTACATGTTATTGTTCAAACAAAAACTTTCAGTGCCTTTCAAAATCGTATCGTTTACAGATCGAAAACTGTCCACATTTTTACCGTAGGATAATATGTACAAAAAAAACACGATCCTTATTTTATTTGTAGCCGTAGATAGATCGTCTTCATACCATTTTCGTATGGTAAAATACCTGTGTAACAATAGTAATAATAACAATATGTTCTTGATTTAAAAAAGCGTTTAATATTAAAAAAAGAAGTAATAATAAAGAATCGGCATGTGTATCATCGTTCAAGTTTTCATGAACTATTTTCGCTTTTTGACAACTGCTAAATTTTATTGTTTTATCATTTGCAATAGAAAATAACAAAACCGATATTATTTAACAAAGGTTTATTGGGATTGATCAAGTCTTCGATGATACTTATTGTTTGCAGTTTTTGTTCAATATATACTTGGTTGTGACTCAAAGATTGTGTCCACTTTCAGCCAAAATTTAAGTCATCTAGATTTCGTTCAGCATTTTGCTTATCATCAGTGTGTATATTCTCGACGGTTTTCAGTTTCTTGTTTTTATCTCTTTAAATGTAAATTGGTATTTTTACAATGTCTAAAAAGATTTAACCTGCTTCTTTATGCCAAAACGATTCATCATTATCGCATAATATTTTCAATTTCATATCCTCAAGAGTTTTCTGAACATATACTATATTCATTTAAATGTAAGAACACTTGCTTTGATAATGTCTTGACACGTTGCTTGTATTCCAAACAGTATTTTGATAACTTGTTTGGTTTACAAAATATACTATGAGTATTATTTACGAATAGTTTTAACAGAAAGAGTTTACATGTTTGTCAATAGTAAAGGCATAATCCTTGTATAGCAAGTCAACAGACTTTGGTACTTGAGGAAATATAAGATGTCACAAACGAAATAACTTCTTTATCATGATAACATTAAAAAGAAGATGACATTACTTGAATAACATAGAAGACACCACCGTGGACAAAGATCATTAATTAATCCGTTAACGAAATGAGACGATTGAGAACCTTTTTAAGCAAGAAATTCAGTGTATATCAATATAGAAATGTGCAGTTCTAGTCAAGTGTTCACCAAAAACTCACATTGACGTTCACTAACACACTGACTACACTGAGTCAATGTTCACTGATTTACCTAACATATCCACACAGTTTGAATGTGTCAATGCTTCAGTAAACACCAATCCCGTATAGCCAGTATATTAGTATTCCAGTATTTTCACCGTAACAGCACATCTCTATTTTAATGCCGTTTGCCAATTTCGGCATCCAACGAAATATTTTCACTTATTTGGGTATGTTTCACAACGTATTCATTCTTCGCATATAATTAGACACGAGCAAGACCAGTGATTTTTTTCCGGGCCCAATATGACCGAGACCATCTTGTTCATATCTACATATATTAATTCATCGCCATATTCTATGGAGTTGTATAGTCGCTCCGTAAGTTTTCTTTTAAAAACGCATTTGCCAGTTCACGGAAAGTGTACTGATATGTGTGTTGGAGATGTCATAAGAAATCAGGGATTTAAATAGTGTTTCTATGAAACTTCAGATATGAAACTGTGACAGTTGATTTTTTTTGACAAACAAGTTTTTACTGATTTTTTTTGACAAACAAGTTTTTACTGATTTTCTTCTGCTTTATATTTGTCAATTTTGTGTTGCATTTCACGTTGTCTATTTCTATCAATTTTACCACTCTGAAAATCTTTATAAAGGAATAATCAATTCTTCAGTGTAAATAATCTCTAAAATCCAAACATTTCAATATTGTTAATTAGCTTACATACAGACGCGTAACACCGCACTGAAAAGAAAGAAGGTGAAGAGTGTTTGAGTTCCAGGAAAAGAGGACACTGTGTGAACAATTTTCAGAAGCAGGGATGAGGATGTTACGCGTCTGTTTATGAAGTCATCAATTTCAGACACCTTTGAATTTGTAGATAGTAATCGAATCTGTACGAAAGATGACGCTAAAAGTCGATCTTCTTCTTTCAACAAAAACATCTAAACTCTCTCGAAAACGAAATTTTTAAGCATGAATATTGAAAAAAATGATTTATTTTATATTAATAACATTCTCACCACATAATCATTGGTATAATCATTTAATACTGCATAGAAA